TTGTTCCAGATTTACAGCATCCGCAGTTCTTTTGGTTTTTAGAAGCTTGGTCAAAATGATGAGTAAGTAAATGTCTTGATATCATCACCAACAAGAACAAATGGAATGGTTTACCTAAGTTTACTTATTTCCATTGTTTTCTGTGCAAAATATCCAATATCCTGCTCTGACAAAAGAATTGTCTGCATCATTGTGTTACCTATTATGTATGTTTTATGAAAACAGTTATTGAAGTATGTGTATGTAGTGCATTGCTTCAGAGAGGTGTTGATCATTATTTCTGTTAAGCTGCACTGTTAAGAACTGTTTTAGAAATGCATGGCAACATTAAGAAAGTAAAAAGGTCTCTGGTTCGGAAAATTAACTGCTGTGCACTCTTTATTTCCAATGTCTAGCATGTTGAAAAACTGGAACTAGCAGGAATGGACTTCATCTGGAGAATTGCCATGGAGTCACCAGATGAAGAAATTGCACACGAAGCAATCCATCTGATCATTAATTATAGCTACATCAGCCTTAATCCTCGTTTAAAAAAGGTACTCTATAAAAATCAAGTAATGGGAAATGAATCATTAATATGGATATAATAGAATAAATGTTACTTTAAAGACCATCAAGCTGTTAAATTGCCTAAATTTGCTTATGGCCAATAACTTTGTGTGGACGAAGTTCGTGCTTAAAATAACTTTACTTCTGTCTTTGTAGATTTCTCTTTGATTTGCAGATTTGAATTTTTTATGTACTTCACGTCAACTTATTATCCATAATTCTGATTCTTACGAAAAAAAAAGCATAAACCCAGAACCTTGTTGTAGATCTAGGAATAGTCTAACACTAAAATTGTGTCCCAAGGATTCAGATAATTAAGTGTGATGTTCTATTATTTAACATGAGGACATGTTTATCAGGAAATGAGTAAAATCATGTCAAAGCTAAGTAACTTAGTACTATGGCAAAGTTTTTAAATTCAGTCAATGTGATGTTAAAGTGCCTGATGTAGTGTGAATCATTTTTGTTTCTGTTACTTAATATTCCTTATGAATTTGCTCTATAAAGGGTATGTTATAAGGGAAAATAATTTTTGCTTTTAAACTGGGTTTTAGAGCTTTGGAGGGGGCCATTCTGGAACAGATCATTTTCTCTAAAGTTCTTCCTTAAGGAGCAGAAATTAATTTCAGATATGAAAGATGTCATTATGTGTTTGTATGGAATGATGAATAAATCCAGACACTGACCATCATCATTTCACTTCTCTTTCAGGACTCTGTTTCCCTTCATAAGAAATTCATAGCAGATTGCTACAAACGTTTAGAAGTAAGTGGTGAATTTATATATCTGGTGTTCTATTATTATGGTCATTTTGTCTTTAATGTATTTTCCTAACCTCTTCTCATTGTAGGTTGCTAGTTCAGCACTAGGTGGCCCTACTTTGACACATGCTGTTACAAGGGCTACTAAAATGCTGACAGCTACAGCCATGCCTACTGTAGCGACATCAGTGCAGTCTCCATCCAGGTAATACCAACATTCATTCACAGATATTATTGTGCTTCATGTACTCTTTTTTTTTTGCAGATATTAAATGCCTGTGGGTTGCATGAAATGAAAAATGTAAACACCCACACTGCCACCTAGTGGCAGCCTGTTGGATTTGGCTCAGATACTTGTTGGTGCTTGGTTACTTAGGTTAAATTTGCGGTTATGGTGTTTCCAGGTCTGATAATGCTCTTTAATAAGCCAGTTAGGTAACAAGGTTGTCATGGAAAGGATGTTTCCACTTGTGAGTGAGCCCAGAACTAGGTGGTGTTGTTTTAAAATTCATTGTGCCCTTTTAGGACCAAGACTAGAATGAGTTTTCTATGGTGGTTATGCAAGTTTGATAGAGGTGGGGTAATTGAATATTGTTGAGATGGAAGTTGTTTGTTGTTAGCCAAAGAAATCATAAGCTAGGGATGGATGGGAATATGGAATTTGACACACAAGAAGATCAACCATGATCTTATTAAATGGCAAAGCAGGCTCAAAAGGCTGAATGGCTTACTTCTGCTCCTATTTTGTATGTTCATATGGCATGGCTTTTGGGTGTCTACTGGTACTTCAGACATCACAGCTGTCTGGAGCAGGCTTGGTGTACCAGATAGTCTTTTCCTATTTGTCACTCTTGAATGTTTAGGCATCAGTTATATGCCTATTTCAATATTATGTTACTGAATTAGGTTTACCAAGAAGCTCAATCTAACTCTGTTTTTGTAAGGATGTGTCAAGATTCTGTTAACAGTTCGATAATGTTTATGTCTCAACTGTAGGTCCAGTAAACTTATCATAATTGAACGGCTGCTGTTGCTTGCAGAAAGATATGTGATCACAATAGAGGTGAGTAAATGAATGGTTACATTTCCAGTAAATGGCTATGCCAAACTGACAAATCACTAATTGACTTATTCATGCTTAATACTGTAAGCTAGACATCTTGTTTTATGCTCGGATGAATACCAGTGTAATGTATTCATTCGTTCTTGATTTCTCATATCATTGTATATAGGAGGGAAGATAAAGTTGAACCTTCAATTCAAGTAGAATTAAGAAATAAGGATTGTCTAGACTTGAAAGGCTTCAATTAAAAAAAACAGTCAAAAATAGTATCAGAATGAGGCTGGAGCTCAAAAGAAGGGGTACATTGCTGCAATCAGTTGCATCAGCATGACAGGCCCAGGGAGCGGAAATAGGGGTAGAGTAGGGGAACAATTATAAAAAATAATTCCTTAATCATATCTTCCCTGTCATTAAAATATTTTTAAAAAATTAATATTGAAAAACAAATAATTTGGTGCATCAAGCCATTAAGACTCAGAAAAACTAATGGGCCTGAGGCATTGTACTATGCTTATATCTTTCACTTTTTGAAAAAAGGACAACGTATTACAAATTCAGACTTGGCACTTTCAAGTCTTTTCTGGTATATTTTTCAACATTAACTTAATTTATAGTCCTTAGAGAAATTCTGGAGATCCATTTGCGCAATTATGCTTGCTTCTGGTACCAAAGCACATTGTCTCTGGCAGTGGGCAGTTTTGGGCAGTTACAGAGTATGTCAGATTTGTGATCTTACATATTGTGCATGTTAGCACCTTGGTGTCCTCGACCACTGAAATATCTTTATTTTGAGGTTAAGGTATTTTCATTTTTAAATTTGTGACCATCTTTTATGCAGGATCTGTATTCTGTTCCTCGGACAATCTTGCCTCACGGTGCCTCGTTCCATGGACATCCTGTAACTATCTCAGTCATCTGCGAATCCACAAAAGAAACATTTAGTATAGAGGTTAGTGTTGTTCAGCTTCTGATTTTTGTGAACCCACGCAGATATGCTTCAAACTTGAAAACAATATACTTGGTCAATTCTGTTCTCCCCTCCTTCTAAAACCAGGAAAGATGCTTAAAATTCTTATTAACCTTTTTTTTTTTTAATTTTTAGCACTTTTTCACCGTTATCCCAATAACAGGGTAGCAAATGTTTGAAAACTAGAGTAGAAATTTTGGAAGGCAAATTCTGATTGGACAAAGATGGTTAGTCCTGTTTTTATGGAATATATTTCTATTGATAGACCCATATTTTGTTCTTGTGCTACAGATTAATTTCTCTTCCCCATTTAAAGCAAAGCTTTAAGGAAGAATTTGTTGTAGAACTTAAAAAAGATGAATAATGTGTGCCTTTGCTGGGTATGTTTTGGGCAGGGTAGGTACATATTCATATAATACAGGTGGCTAGCTCACTACCTCCTTGAAGTGACCCCTATAATACAAAAGTAATTAGCATCCCACCCCAATATGATCAAAAGTCAGTAGGGCTTGTGAAAAGATCAGTTGCTTTATACTTGCCCATCACAGATATTCACCTGAAGATGGTAACCTCCTTCCTTACTGCTCTGAAACCTGCCCACTTGCCAAACCTCCTTGAGCCCGTCCCTATGCATTCTAAATCCTCTCTGCCTCAATACGCCACGTTAGACCAGATGCTATTGAGCCTCCTTGTGGGCTTGCCTGAATTACCAACAGTGCTCACAACTGAGTTTGTGGCATTACCCAAATTGCTGCAGATGGGAAAGTAAGTAATGGTGAAAAAAAAATTAAGTTCGAAGCAAATTGTAAGCTATAAAAAGTAAAATTGAATGAAAGGAGGAAAATAAAATGAGTATGTTTCAAATTGTTGCTTGAGTTTTCACTCCTGATCTCTAATATAAGGAAAGTCATGCTACGAAGATACAGTGAGTATCAGTAATTCAAAGGCTAGGGGCCATAGTCATTTTTAATACTGCAAGTGTCATTTTCATCTTTTATGTGCAGAACTAAATTTCGCTGAGCACCTCTGTACTTGATGCACAAATGCTGTCTTAGCAGCTTGATATTTTATGGTATAATTCAAATAAATGAAATAGTAAATCATTAGTCTGAACAAGCTCTGCTCCCAATCAGCGGTTTCGATATTAAAGCTTGGCCTAAGTACGCATGGAAGTGCTGAGGTCATTCTTTCAATACAATGAATATAACATTGGACATTTCGCAGCTTGAAATGCTAACTCATTGGCAAACTGGAGAATTTGATATTACCAAAGTGTTTGCCAGATCTGCAGCATAATAGGGGTTAAACTTTCTATTGCATATAAAATGTTTTAGTTTTTTTTTGATAGTATGGTTTATAAAATTGGTCAGGCAGCATTAGAGGAAAGTCGGCATTTCGGGTCTGGACCCTTCATCAAGACTGGGAGGGGAAAGGGAGCTGGGAAGTAAATAGAGGGAGGAGTGGTGAGGCCGGGGGGGGAAGGTAGGTAGATGGCGATAGGTGGATGCACTTGGGGGTAGTGGGGATTGGTCAGTGGGAAGAGTGGAGTGGACAGGAGGGGAAGATGATGGACAGGTGGTGTCAGGTCATGGAGGTGGGGATGAGAGGGAGGGTTGGACATGGGATGAGGCCGTGGGTGAGGAGATTTTGAAACTGGTGAATTCTGTGTTCAGGCCGTCAGGCTGTAGGCTCCCCAGGCAGAATATGAGGTGTTGTTCCTCCAGTTTGTGTGTGGCATCATTGTGGCACTGGAGGAGGCCCAGGATGGACATGTCACCCAGGGAGTGGGAGGGGTGTTAAAATGGTTAGCCACTGGAAGGCATTGTTGAATGTAGCATATGGAGCACATGTAGGCCATATTGGAGGATGCACAGGTGAATCCCTGTTAGATATGGAAAGTTTGTCTTGGGCCTCGGGTGGAGGTAAGAGGGAAGGTGTAGGAGCAGGTGTAACACCACCTGCGGTTGCAGGGAAAGGTGCCGGATGCAGTGGGATTGGTGGAAATGTGGAGCGGATGAGGGAGTTGTGGAGTGAGCGGTCCCTACGAACGACAGATAGGGGTGGGGAGTGAAATATCTCTGATAGTGGGGTCAGATTGTAAGTGGTGGAAGTGGCTGGGTGCGGAGGTTGGTGAGGTGGTATGAGAGGACCGGGGGGGTCTGTCTTTATTTTTGTATGGGGGAGGGATTTGTGGGCAGAAGTGTGAAAAGTGCAAGAGATGTGCTTCGTGACATTTTTGATCAACGGAGGGGGGAGGTTGCGGTTCTTGATGTAGGAGGACATCTCGGATATTCAGGAGTGGAACGCTCCATCTTGGGAGCAGATGCAGCAGAGGTGGAGGAATTGGGAGTATGGGATCGCATTCTTGCAGGAGGATGGGTGAGAGGTGGTTTAGTCAAGGTAACGATTGGAGTCGGTGGGTTTGAAGTGGATGTCTCTGTTGAGACGGTTACCAGATATGGAGACAGAGGTCCAGGAAGGGGAGGAGATATCGGAGATGGTCCGTGGAAGGAGTAACAGGAATACAGAGTACTGGGCTAATGGTAAGATTCTTGGTAGTGTGGATGAGCAGAAAGATCTCGGTGTCCATGTGCATAGATCACTGAAAGTTGCCACCCAGGTTGATAGCGTTGTTAAGAAGGCATACAGTATGTTAGGTTTTATTGGTAGAGGGATTGAGTTTCGGAGCCATGAGGTCATGTTGCAGCTGTACAAAACTCTGGTGCGGCCGCACTTGGAGTATTGCATACAGTTCTGGTCACCGCATTATAGGAAGGATGTGGAAGCATTGGAAAGGGTGCAGAGGAGATTTACCAGGATGTTGCCTGGTATGGAGGGAAGGTCTTATGAGGAAAAGCTGAGGGTCTTGAGGCTGTTTTCGTTAGAGAGAAGAAGGTTAAGAGGTGACTTGATAGAGACATACAAGATGATCAGAGGATTAGATAGGGTGGACAGTGGGAGCCTTTTTCCTCGGATGGTGATGGCTAGCACGAGGGGACATAGCTTTAAATTGAGGGGTGATAGATACAGGACAGATGTCAGAGGTAGGTTCTTTACTGAGAGAGTAGTGAGGGCGTGGAATGCCCTGCCTGCAAAAATAGTAGACTCGCCAACTTTAAGGGCATTTAAATGGTCATTGGATAAACATATGGATGATAATGGAATAGTTTAGGTTAGATGGGCTTCAGATTGGTTTCACAGATCGGCGCAACATCGAGGGCCGAAGGGCCTGTACTGCGCTGTAATGTTCTATGTTCTATGTTCTATGAACTTGAGGTTGGGGTGAAAAGTGCTAGTAAACTGTTCAAGCTCCTCATGGGAGCACAAGACAGCCCCGATACAGTCATCAATGTAGTGGAAGAGGTGAGGGATGGTGCCAGTGTAACAGCGGAAGAGGGACTGTTCCAGGTATCCTACAGAGAGGCAGGCATAGCTCAGTACTGAACTCATCTCTGCTTACCTTGAATGTGTCTTTTCTCCCCGGTCCAGGAACTCCCTACCCACGCCCTCCACCACCTCCAAGACTTTCAATTCCCCGCAACCTCCCCCCTCCGTTGATCGAAAATGCCATCAGCTGCATCTCTTACATTTCTCGCACTTTTGCCCTCAAACCACCTCCCAACAAAAATAAAGACACACTCCCCCTGGTCCTCACATATCATCCCCACCAACCTCCGCATCCAGCACATCATCCTCCGCCACCTACAATGTGACCCCACCACCAAAGAGATAGTTCCTTCCCTACTCCTATCTGCCTTTTGTAAGGACTGCTTACTCCGCGACTCCCTCGTCCACTCCACACTCCCCACAACTCCACCGCATCCGGCACATTTCCCTGCAACCGCAGGAAGTGCTACACCTGCCCCTACACCCCACCTCTCACCTCCATCCAAGACCAAAAACAAACTTTCCATATCCGACATGGGTTCACCTGTACAGTCTCCAACTTGGTCTACCGTATCTGTTGCTCCAATGTGGCCTCCTCGACATCGGTGAGACCAGACAGGGTGACAGATTTGCGGAGCATTGTGCTCTGTATGCTATAATCAACAACACTTTCTGGTTGCAAGCCATTTTAACTCCTGTCCCACTCTGTTGGTGACATGTCTACCCTGGACCTCCTCCAGTGGCACAATGATGCCACACGCAAACCGGAGGAACAAAACCTCATATTCCACCTTGGGAGCATCCAGCCCGATGGGCTGAACATAGAATTCACCAATTTTAAAATCTCCCCACCCCGGCCTCATCCCGTGTCCAACCCTCCCTCTCATCCCCACCTCCCTTCACCTGACACTACCTGTCCATCATCTTTCTCACCTGTCCACTCCATCTTTCCCACTAACCAATCCCCACTACCCCTACCTGCATCCAACTATCGCCATCCCATCTACCTTCTCCAAGCTATACCCCTTCTCCCTCTATTTATTTCCCAGTACTGATGAAGGATCCAGGCCTGAAATGTCAGCTTTCCTGCTCCTCTGATGCTGCCTGGCCTGCAGTGTGCCTCCAGCTCCACACTGTATTGACTCTGACTCCAGCATCTGCAGTTCCTGCTATTTCCGAATGGTTTATAAAATGCTAGCTTTGCCTTTCCATGTCATTTATATCTGACTGCAGTTTTAACATTTATACTATTTGTTTAAGGCTTCTCAGTAAAATGTTTTTATTAAACTTTGTCAAATTTGCTTGATTAAGCTCAGTACTGTCTGAAGTTTAATCATGTTTATTGTACATTACTTATCCCAGTCAAATATGCCAGTGTACATTGCAATATTTACTTGACCAGTGCCTAACTATAATGTTGACATTCTGCCCACTTTACAGGCTCACAGCAATGAGACTATTGGGAGTGTCAGGTGGAAGATCATATCGCATGTCAACTGTCCGTTGGATAACCTGCAGATATTTGCTAATGATAGCTTGGTAAGTAAAGGAAAAGAAAGGGGGAAAATACTTAAGTTGGAGATGATAATTTATCTGACTCAGAATCTATATTTTTATTTTAGGAATGGGAAATGGGCTTTGGATCTGTTGACACCATAATTTTATTAAATTTTTTCTACATTGGGAGAGAATGCTTTCATTTCCACTTTTTTGAAAAATGATTGATCTCACGTTGGCAATACCTCATTTATTACATCTCTCAATCGGTGTCCTTTTATTGTCATTGTGACTGCCCGTTTAAGTTCAAGGCTGTTAAATGTTTTTGCACGTGTGGGTGGCCATTTGAAAGAGTTTACTTATGTCAGATCTAGGCAGGGCAACAATTTTGTGAATTTGACCATGTTGAACGATGCCTGCTCACCCATTTTTGTTAAACATATTGCAGCCTTTTATACAGTTGACTTCATCTTCCTCAATGCCTTTTCCCCAGCATCCAGCAAGTTGAGTTCTCCTTTTCTTGCCGATCAAATGATAGCTGCTTTGGATTGTATTCTAAGCCCTGTACCTGTGCCTCTACAGTACTCCATAGATTGATCGTTGCTCCCTCCCTGCTCAGCTTCCCTTCTACGTGCTGCTTCTCTGTGACATCGTACTTAGGAACAATTAAAAAACAAGTTCTGTGGATGCTGGCTACCTGAGACCTATAAATGCAACATCAGTTTCTGTATATATGATAATGACAACAACCTCTGTCTTGTCAACACTTCTCTTGACCGCTGTCTTTGATAATTTATCAGACTGCTTATCGTCATCTGGTACTATATGAGGAGAAATTTGTTGCTCCTAAGTATTGAGAAGATCGAACTAATTAACTTGCTAATCCACCACTATGTTCCCTAGCCAATGAGTTTCATCGCCCTCCCTGTCAACAGTCTGAAGTTGAATAAGGCTGTTGGCAATGCTGATGCCATGTTTAACCTCAAGATGTGCTTCCAACCAGGCATCCATGTCATCAGACTAAAACTGCCGATTTCCACAGTAGTAATAGAGCATGAATATTAGTTCGTCTGAAACTCAGATTCAGGCTGTATTTTTGATCTCGCCATGCCTATCCCATTGTACTAATGGCCAGCATTTCCACATTCTATCTTTCAGAAACTTAAATCACCTGAACCTCTGCTATCCATGTCCTGTATCTCAGCAAGTTTTGGTTCTGTTTATTCATCACCCATGTGCTTACTAATCTATATTGGTTCATGAGTAAATAATTTTAAAATTCTCATCCTTGCTCCTAAATCCAGCTTTGGTCTCACCTCTTGTCATGCAACATCTTCAAGATGTCAGCACTTGTCCGCTCATGTGCCTCTCCACATTTAATCACTGTGTCATTGACATCAATGCCAGGAGCTGGCAAGGCTCAAGGCCCCGAAATTCCCTCCCTAACACCTTCTCACTCTCTTCTCCTCTTGCCTTTCTGCTGTTAGCTACCCTAATAATCGTTTTATATGGCTAAATAATAAGTTTCGTTTGTTAATACTCCATCAAATACCTAGGGATGTTTTTGAGTTAACAGGAACTAAATAAATTAAAGCTGCTGTTCTGCATAAATCTCTGATACTAGACGTCACCCTTATGGCTCATGCCTGCTTTTGTAATAGTGTAGAGAAGTGCCGTTAAGTTGCTGATCAGTCGTGATCTCGTTGATGGAGGAACGATTATGGTGCTAATGGCCTGTCCCTATTCTATATTGCAAACAAAAAACAACAAAAAATGCAGGAAAAGTGCAGTTGGTCTGGCAACATCAGCAAAGAGAAATATTTAATGTTGCAGTGCCAAGACTATATTTCAGAGCCTGTTCCTATGTTCGTGGATTTGAAAATATTTTCTTTGCATCACTAGAATTGGATAAAATCAAATCATACTCTGATGAATAACTTGTTCTGTCATTTCCGTGCCCCCTCCTCTGATTGCATTGCCACTTTAACCAGTTTGTTTTCAGTTTCTGAATCGAATTACTAGAAATTAGAAACTGTTGTGGTTCCAACATTCCAGAGCATCCCATTTAATTTCCTACCTTCAATTTGTCCATATCTCTCAATCAATCAAGCTGTTATTGCAAATCTGGACAGTAATATTTGAATGTATATGTTACTGTTTTAGAACCCTGATTTATTCAGTGCCAGGCAGTTATGGGAAGAGATAGCAACATTCTGTAAATTAGTACCTTTGTCATTTGTTGCAGATGTTCTTGGATGACAAAAAGCAAAGTGTAGCACCGCTTTGCCACTGCAATTTTTTTTATTTTGTATCTCCCATTATTAAAAAACCAAGTTTCTAATTTTTCATCTAGGTTCTTTCTTATTACCAATTCTGTTGTGAAATCAAGTACAAGTCAATTGATTTTATAACTTCATTTGCACATCATGCTGCTTATTTTCTGCCAATGGAAATAATGTGTGCTGTTTCTTTTATCTAGCTGACCATGAACAAAGATCAAAAATTGCTCCACCAACTGGGATTTTCAGATGACCAAATATTAACAATAAAGACGCCTGTGATGGGTACAGCATCAGGGAGTTCAGTTGACTCATCTGCCAGCAGTGGTGTGTTCAACTCCGCTTATGTTATGGAACAGGTTAGACATGAAAGGTTATGTAAAAACAAAGCGTTTAACTTCAGATGAAAGTTGTTTGAGAACAGAGTTCTGCTTTTGGCTCAGGTTTACAAATTTCATACGAAGTATTCTGAAACTTAGTTCTTGATCCGTTGAATAATTTTCAGTTTTCATTGAAGGATTTGCAGAGGTATGCTGCTTTTCGATATTCTTTAAAAATGAGATTGCACAAATTCTAAATAACAACCGATAGAACTGCGGATGCTGTAAATCAGAAACAAAAACAGAAATTGCTGGAAAAGCTCAAGAGATCTGGCAGCATCTGTGGAGAGAAATTAGAGTTAACATTTTGGGTTAAGTGACCCTTACTCAGAACAAATTCTGGCTGGCCGTGGAATGGAGGAGGCTTATCAATTAATGTAAATTACAATGACAGACACCAGTCATAAAGCAAGACTTTGTAAATATGCTTGTGTTGAACATTTGATAAAAGTACTGTGCAATTTGTACTTTCGTGTATTGCACTTTTCTAAATTGACTTAATTCTGTATCTTCCTATTGAATATTCCTTCGGCACAGTTGAATTCAATGTTCCTTATTTGAATGGAATTCCTACTGTTAGACATTTATTTTGGGATATCTCTGCTAGCGTTTTTTGTGACAAGTTTCTTTCCCTTTGTAATAGGAGAAATCACTGCCTGGTGTTGTGATGGCACTGGTTTGTAATGTGTTTGATATGCTTTACCAACTCGCCAACCTTGAAGAACCAAGGTAAGATTCCATAGTTTCAAATAGAGTAGTTGTATGTATGTAATTATCTTGTTTTAAAAGCAGAATAACACCAATCAGATAGGCCCTGTAGAACTGCTCATGATATTTTAAGTATTAACATTTTACACACGGTGAGTGTCAGAAACTCCAGAGGTAATTTGCTCCTCTCCATTGAAAGAGCTAAGTTCTCTTCTTCACTTTGGGCATTTAAATGATGAGAGTCCTGGAATTGGTAACTGACAGTCACATATATCAAATTATCTGTACCACAGGTTCTACATGAAAGAAGCTCAACTATTCAGGGATCCATTGAACACAAACTTAGTCCACTTTAAGTTGGGGTTAAAATTCAATTCGTTGAGAATGTTAGGCTATAAAATACATCTGTTTTTGTAAAATGCAAATTTCAAATGTTTTACACTAGCTTGACACTTTATTTCATTATCGTTTGAACTGTTTGTCATATACAACAATGTATAAAGCATGTGTTTTTCCTGGATGCCAACCTAAACTTATTGCTAATGCTGCCTCCAACTTTGGCTTGTGTTAAAACAAATATATTATTGACGTGTTCATCTTTCAGGATAACAGTGCGTGTTAGGAAGTTGCTGTTATTAGTTCCTACTGATCCAGCAATCCAAGAAGCTCTGGATACACTTGATGCTTTAGGCAGAAAAGTAAGTTGTTGTATTCTTCTATATTTTCCCAATTTTAAAATCGTTTTTCAATGAAACGCAGCAGCATTTTCCTCTCATGGTATTGGGAAAAAGGAGCATCCAAATTTTACCTAAAGTCTTGAAGTTTTAACAGGAAAGCTAAGTCTCCTAATGTTTTCTGTGAGAATCTTGACATTACCTGGGTCATTGTAGCAAAAAGAAAAGCTTTTCTGTTTGAACAACCAAACCTCTCCAAGTCATTAACAACATTGTGCGCATAGACATGCTGACAAAAGCCGATTATTAATGGTGGTATAACAAAAAGTAAGAAACCGAAATTCTTAACTCCATATAAAGAACATGTCTGACTTGCATTTCAAGTACAAACTCTAGTAACTCTATAGCTCAAGAAAGAACCATTAGTCATCTGCATAGTTCCAATCCAAGCAAGTGATTCTTTACCAGCTTCGTCTGAGATTTTAAAAGTGTTGTATGAATGTCTTTTTTTTTTTTCCAAGGGCTTGTGTATTAGTGACTAAGATTTTCAAAACCTCTCTTCTTAGACTTTTGTACAATGAATACTGGTCATTTTTGAGTCCCCTAATTAAACCTCTACTTTTGAAAGCTGAAAAATTAAATCTATAACGTTTATAAATGCAACCCACTCCTGCTGTATCTTTCACAGATGATGCACCTGGAGGCAGGGAGTGGGTCCAGGCATCCCACATTTTTGTGTGTTGTTACTCCCACTTTTACCTGACTTGCATGAAATTAGCTGCGTGTATCATTTGTTACCTTAGCTCTGCATCCCTGTTGTTTATTTCTTCAACAGAATATTGAGTGGAAAATTAGTTTTGAACTGCATGCAGTCGGGGCTGGGCTTGTACACAGCAGATGCTGGAGGAGCCAGGTTCTTTACGTGATATTGCAGAGTTTTATTTGTTTTGCCTGGATGATGAATTATTGATTATGCAGATTATTAAATGTCAGAAGATATGCAGAATGGTAGGTTTAAACTGAAGGTTGATTTTATTCTTAGCAGAAAACCTTACTGACTGATTCAAGTCATCAAACATCAAAGTCACCCTCGCTCTCTTCGAAGCAACAACATCAGCCTAGTGCAAACACTATTTTGGAGAGTCTGTTCAGATCATCGGCACCTGGGATGTCCACCTTTAGAGTACTATATAACTTAGAGGTATGAGCTATTCAAATTATAAGACCTTTGGATATTGTTTTGCAAGAGACTGGATCATCTCACTGCGACTCCCAGTGAAAGCTTTATCATGCTGCCTCATTAGGACTTCACAATATCATAGGAAAATAATTTCCATTCTAGCTGATATTTGTGCTGTGCCCGGTTTATAGGCGTTCACACATTCTGCACGAAATTCTATTTTGTTCTCAAACTTGAGAAGGCATCCGCTGCATCCACCTCGAAAACCATTTAAAAGGTTAGATTCCATTTGTCCTAAAGAGAATTTGCTTGCATTTTTCCAAAAACAAAGCACATTTTAAGAAAAAACTATGATAATCGAAATCACTCGACGTTGCAGTTTAAATTTCCAATGTGGGACTTTTCACCAAGGTGCCTTTCAGTTCTATTGTCAAGTTAAGATCATTCGTGAACACCTAAGCAGTGAGGGTAATCTTGGAGACTCTCCATTGGATAGGCACAGTGGCATCCTAGATCCATTGAGGTTGAGCATTAATTGAATTTTCATGGGCTCAATCTTCCTTGGTAAATTGTCAGCTGGATCTGATGCAATTTTCCTCTAGTCTGCTATTTTGAGCTTGTTTGTGAAAGGTATAAATTTATGTGGCAGTTTCTTTCAATTATGGAATTAAGAACACATGCTACAGAAATGTACAACACTTGTGTGGAAATGGTTCAGTTGTTGACTTCTGTTTAACACCTACATTTCTCAAGAATGTGAAGTTACCATTTTCTTGACAAAATTCTAGGCTTTATCCATTCCACTCATTAGATATATGTGTGTCATTTGCCTGTTGGTGTAGAAAGTCATTTGGTTCCTGCTATTGATTTGGATTTTTATGCTGTTTGTACAGGTTCTCAGTTCCAAGCTGATGCCTACATCAGACGATGAAATGGCAAGAAACTGTGCTAAATCTTTCTGTGAAAACTTCCTCAAAGCAGGAGGTTTGAGGTATGCATGTGTACTATTTTGTATCCAGCCTTTTCCTGTTGTTATTTTCATTCCACCTGCCATTCAAGCACCATAGAACAAGCTTGACTCCCTTTGATATAGTTTTTTTCTCCATATAATACCAAATGTTTTGGTAATTGGTTGAATCACTCACAAAGACTTTATATTTCAGGAGTATATTATATTTAAATAATTTACGAAGAAAGGAATGCCTCACTTAATATGTCGATGCTACTTATAACAAGTTATTTGTAAAAATTCATTCACGGGATGAGGGCATCACCGGCTAGGCAGCATTTATTGCCCAGAGGGCAGTTCAGAGTCAACCACATTGCTGTGTATCTGGAGTCACATGGAGGCCAGACCCGGTAAGGATGGCTGTTTCCTTCCCTAAAGGACATTAGTGAACTAGATGGGTTTTTTTTTCAACAATTAACAATGAATTCATGGTCATAATTAGTCTCCTAATTCTGTTAGAAGGTGAAGCTGTACTCAGCCAATTTGGTTAGAATCTGCTATCAGGTGTATTGCTGGTCATTGAAACCAGAAGTGAAAAGACACAGAATTTTGGAGGGCAGACCCTGATTGAATAAGAGATAGTAGGAACTGCAGATGCTGGAGAATCCGAGACAACAAGGTGCAGGGCTGGATGAACACAGCAGGCCAAGCAGCATCATAGGAGCAGAGAGGCTGACGTTTCGGGCCTAGACCCTTCATCCAGCCCTGCACCTTGTTGTCCCTGATTGAATAATCTGTTTTAAGACTTCATGGTTAATTTTTCTTGTGGAAACTAAAGGTGATCTGTCAACCATTGGCAGATATAAACTTCAGCAATTTTGTTAAATGCTAAACTTTCTGTCGCTTTTCTGATGTATCACCACAAAAATATATATTCTCCCTCCATTTATTTCAACCCCATATAAGTACACTACCATCCAAATATGTTGAAAACATCAGAAAATACCTTTTCAGAAATTTGCCATTACAGGTTTCTGTTATCGTAGACCACATCTTCCCTTAACCTGTCCAGTTCCTCAAACACTGACTTCAGTTATTGAGCATTCTTCCTGGCAGTTTCCATTTAGAAGCATTCCATTCTGAGACACAGCAAGGTTTATATTCATCATGTTTTCAGCCATTGCAATGTCATTGTATACAAAGGCAAGTCTTCAACCTCACAAAGGTAACGGATTTCCCTGAACGTAATTGTGTTATAATACAGTCAGACTCATAATTTGTGACATTTTTAACTTTTCCTCCATTTCTGAAGAAATCATGTTGGACTTGAAATATTAATTCTTTTCTCTTTCTAAAGATTGCCAGACCTGCTGAATTTCTTCAGCACTTTGTTTTATTTCAGATTGCCAGGATCTGCAGTATTTTATGTTTGTGGATTTTATAGGTTGCTGTTGTTCTTTTATAATTGATTTGTGTGTGTGTCATTGACTTCAGACTGGCAAAAGCTACTTCTGACTAGTTTGGAGTTCCATTACTTATGATATGCAGAGCATGACTTGATTTTTACAACTAAATGTTTCCAATTGTGTAGCATTGTACTAACTATTAATGCTTATAATAACAGCAGCGCACAAGAAATGAGCTAGACACTGTACAGCCACCTTAAAAACTCAGCAACGCACACTGCTTAAAATAATTAATGCTTCTAACAACCATTCTGTCATTTTGGGAGATGGTCTTAAACTATTTCAGCTTTGCCCTCATGACAACTGAGAAAATAGTGAAAGTTTGTTTTTTGATATTTTGCAGTTGAAGTGAAAATGAAATTTGCATTTCATAAGCCCGAGCAGACTATTTAGTGTATCAATTCTGCACTCAATTTCTCAGAAGACTTGTAGGAAATAACAAGTTGTCTGATACTAAACACTGTTCAATATTCTGATTAATAGCTCACAATTTAAAACATTAACAATTAATAAGATTTACTGTAGAGATTGTTAAAGACTGTGAACCTGATGATTTTTGTCACAACTGATCCTGTGAGAAATGATTTCTAGAAAGGATTTTTGACATGCTAGACTGATTTTAATTTTTTTGCTACAGGTTGAGCTATCTGTGGATATAACTACTCACAGCAGGTAGTTAGGGTATGGAACGCACTGCCTGGAAATGTGGTGGAGGCAGGTTAATTGAGGCGTTCATTGGGGCATAAGATGACAATTTGGATAGAAGTAGTGTGCAACAGTATAGGAAAAATAGGAGATTGGCACTAGGTAATGATACTCATTTGCAGAGCTGGTGTAGACACGATGACTGAATAGTCTCCTTTAACAATTCTGTGAAGTTCAAAACAAGATATTTGGAAAATAAGATAAAGAAGATGTATTTATGAAGCAACAAACTAAGACATTTACCCTTTGGGAATTTGGACTGAATGGATTTAATTGAACAATTTAGATAATTGCCTTCTTAACACTTATGTTAATTAACAAATCCCACAAATATGAATCCAAGCAAGCTAAATTTGCATGCATTATTCTCTATTATTTGACAAAAATGTTTATTTTCACAATTAACTTATGTTCATTTTGCTTCACTTGGCTTGACTCTAGTTTAATTAGGTTTACAATTTTTACAATATAATTTCTACTAATCTTTCTTGAATCCTCAGTATTGCTTTCAAAATCTACATTTACATTTCCTCAATGTTTGATAATACATGGAAAATTTAAGGTTTTAGCAAAGATTTGTAGCTCAGGTTGTGGGTGAGGTTATTGACTTGCTTGCCGAGCTGGTTTGTTCTTGTTCAGACATTTCATCACCATGCTAGGTAACATCATGAGTGAGTCGTCCGACGAAGCGATGTTGTTCTACTCCGCATGGAATTTATACTTTCCGGTCCGTTATGGTGAGTAGTGTCTTTTCTGGTTTTGTTCTGTATGGGTTTGTGTATGAGGTCCAATTCTGTGTTTGTTGATTGACCCATACAGAATAAAACCAGAAATGACACTACACCATAACGGACCTGACAGTATAAATTCCACGTGGAGTAGAACAACATCGCTTCATCGGAGGCCTCACTGATGATGTTACCTAGCATGGCGATGAAACGCCTGAACGAAAACAAGCCAACTCGACGAGCAAGTCAACAACCTCATACGTGGAATATTTCATCGGTGTCTAGGCAACGTCTGTACCACTGCACATTTTCATTGACTGCAGTTTCATTGCCTGTTGAATCATTAAATATTTCATGACAGATCACTGTAGAAGTTCTCATTTATTGAATAAAAATAGAGATTTTTTTTTAATGATCCTGCATAACTGTTCTCAAGAAGAACATTGGGGATCAGGTGGCTCATTTAAATGTGGCAGTCGAATTTATCATTTACTCAACACATTAAGGATAGCTCTTTTTCCACCATTGCATCACAATTTTTACATCTGATCTGCCGTCAGTAACATGTTTTTTGACATGAAAATTGTCAATGGAAACTTCCTTAAATAATCTTAGTCTCTTACTTGCAACACTGGTTCTTTTTACATTCTATTAATCTTTGTTGACTTCAGCCTTCTTGCTCCAGCTTCTTCCTTTTCTCTAATTCCCTGTTACTTTCTGAAAATTTTGTCTTTTTGCTCTACCCTGTGTTTCTGCCTTGGCTCTATATGCTATCTGTTGCTTTGCCATCCAAATAATAGCGTGTAATAACTTACATGAAATAAATAAATTGTATTCTACGAGAAAACAAAAAAAGAGTCAGGGATTTGTAAGGTACATTAATTGTATTCTACCTTTATGCATTTCTTGTATTCTTTCTTTGTATAGTTAAGGTTGGTTAATGCATGTCTGAGTTACGGTTATGGTGTAGGCAGGACTGCAGAATCCCTGCGAGGATAGGGGTGTTAGCTGTCAACTGTGATGTGCTGTCTATGTTATATCTGTATGCTATATAGGATTTGAAACCTATGAGATACTGCTTGGTATATTGGTATATAGTTCTTGATAGATATTTTGCCTTGAATTTAGCATTTTATATATTATCCAGTATGCTAACTTACAAGTAAATCTTGTAATACAACTTTAAGCTTAACATGGTCTAGATTAATCCTGATTTTTATGTTCTTGCATTGAGAGGCATGAGAAAATTATGCCATCCATTGTAATCTCGAGTACTACATACTGCAACTAAGTCATATACTTAGTGCTGCATGCATAATATTAATAAGAATGCAGGTTTTAAATTCATAGGCTACTTTGAATACCTTTAGGAAATACCCTTTTATCAAAACAAAACAAAAAAGAAGTCTTATGGGATAGTGACACCAAAACATTAAAAAAAAGCACATCTGTATTCTGTGCTCTTTGTAATTTTGATTATTCTGTGAATTACCACAATCTCAATGTTTAAAAAAAACATTTATGTTAGAGACAACACCGTGTGAAGCTGGAGGAACACAGCAGGCCAGGCAGCATCGGAGAAGCAGGAAAGTTGACGTTTTGTGTCGGAACCCTTTTCAGAAATGCGGAGGGGGGAAGGGAGCTCCGAAATAAATAGAGAGGAGGGGTGGGGCTGGGGAAGGTAGGTGGGATGGTGATAGGTGAGTGCAAGCAGGGAGTGGTGGGGATTGGTCAGTGAGGTGGTGGAGCGGATAGGTGGGAGAGAAGATGGACAGGTTGTGTCAGGTAAAGGAGGCAGGGATGAGAGGGAGGGTTGGATATGGGATGAGGCCGGGGTTGGGGAGATTTTAAAACTGGTTAATTCCATGTTTACGCCATTGGGTTGTAGGCTGCCAAGGCAGAATATGGGGTGTTGCTCCTCCAGGTTGTGGGTGGTGTCATTGTGACACTGGAGGAGGCCCAGGATGGACACGACACCCAGGGAGTGGGAGGGAGCGTTAAAGTGGTTGGCGACCAGAAGGTATTGTCGTTTGTCACGAACAGAGTACAGTTGCTCTACAAAACAGTCTGAGCCTCCGCTTGGTCTCACCGATGTAGAGGAGGCCACATCAGGAACAGCGGATACCGTATACCACGTTGACGGATGTCTGATATGGAAGGTTTGTTTTGGGCCTTTATTGGAGGTGTAGGGGCAGGTGTAGCACTTCCTGCGGTTGCAGGGAAAGGTGCTAGGGCTGGTGGGGTTAGTGGGGAGTGTGGAGCCAATGAGGGAGTCGCAGAGAGAGTGGTCCCTATGAAAGGCATATAGGGGTGGGGGGGGAAATATATCTTTGGTTGTGGGATCAGATTTGTAGGTGGTGGAGATTGATGCACTGAATGCCGAGGTTGTTGCAGTAGTATGTGAGGACCAGGGGAATTCTGTCTTTATTTTTGTTGGGGGAGGGTGTGTGAGGGCAGTAGCATGGAAAACGCAAGAGATGTGGTTGAGGGCATTTTCGATCACCGGAAGGGGCATGTTACAGTTGTTGAAGTGGGAGGACATCTGGGATGTTCAGGGTTAGAATCACTCCATAGTGGAAAACACGTTCGAAGTACTGCTGCTCAATATGGCTGTGAAATCCTTGGTGTGTATGTTGGTGCTTATTAGCCAAAGGAAATACAGCTGACATGTTCCTTAGAAAGCTATACACCTTTTCACTTTTTATATTCCAGTTTGGTGGTGAATGTTATGCAGAGAGATTCCATTCCATCTGAGGTGGACTATGAGACAAGGCAAGGAGTTTATTCAATCTGCCTACAGCTTGCAAGGTGAGACCCCACATGTTGTATCATTCAGCAATAAACAATCATCTCCATAGTCAAGTAGGCTTGCCCAATGATTTTTGAGAAGGTGAGTAGCAACATTAGCCAAGAATAAGATCATGCTCAGATATGGAACTTAACACAGACAAATAAGATCACTGTACTCTACTCAGGCTCATCCATAAAGTATGGCTGTTTGAATGACATACCACAGTCTGGAGCCCAGAAGCTTAGTCCAGTGAAGAGGCAAAACCTTTGAAAGGGGAAAGGCAGAAAATTGTTTAATTATTTAGATGTCATGTTGCGTTTGTACAGGACATTGGTGAGGCCCCTGTTAGAATACTGCATACAATTCTGGTCGCCTTCTATAGGAAGGATGTTGTTAAACTTGAGAGATCACAGAGAAGATTTACAAGAATGTTGCTGGGATTGAAGGATTTGAGCAATAAGAGAGGCTGAATAGGCTGGGGCTTTTTTCCCCGTAGCGACAGAGACTAAGAGGTGACCTTATAGAGGTTTGTAAAATCATGATGGGCATTGTTGTAGTGAATAGCCAAGGTCGTCTTCCTAGGGTGGTGGGGGGAGTCCAAAACACGAGGGCATAGCTTTAAGATGAGAGGGGAAAGATTTATAAAGATCCTGAGGAGTAACTTTTTCACGCAGAAAATGGTGGGTGTATGGAATGAGCTACCAGAGGAAGTGATGGAGAGGGGCCCAATTACAACATTTAAAAGGCATCTGGATAGGTATATGAATAGGAAGGGTTTAGAGGGATGTGGGCCAAATGCTGGCAAATGGGACTAGGTCAGATTGGGATGTCTGGTCGGCACAGATGAGTTGAACCAAAGGGTCAGTTTCTGTGTTGTATGACTACTTAGTTGCTGTGTTGGAGATAAAGCTGTTCTGGTCATTTAAATCAACAGTGTTTTGACACCAATGCTTAAAAGTACAGTTGAGAACTTATCCATAAATTCCAATATTTTCATAATTCATTACCTTTAATTAAGTCATTTTATTGTAGCATTTAATTTTGTGGCCGAAAATATCTACTTTGAAGTGTTAAGTGTGTGATGAAAATCATTGACTTGATCACGAGTCAAATTTTTTTATTGTCAGGCAATTTGACAAGTGTAGTGATCCTTATTACTGGACTAATCCAGCGAAAGTGAGTTCAAATTCTACGGCAGTTTGATCATTTGAATTTAAAATTCTTTTACTAACAGGTCTTGATAAAAGTCAGTGCCAGTAAGAGTGACCATGAAACAGTTATAAGGTTTGTTTAGTCATGTTCTTTAGGGAACAAAACTTTCTTCCACTTGAAAATAGTTTAGCCATAACTGTTCACTGATCTGTCCAAGCAAATTTCCCATTTGTATAAAGGCAGTCACCTTTGCTGGGCATCTAGAAATGGGCAAGAATAGCTCTGTTTTGCAGAGATGCCCATGTCCTGAGAGTGGAATTTATTTTCATTTGACTCAGAATCTGGTAAATGTACAAGGAAGATAAGCGTACAACTCAGCCTTTGAAATGGTTGAAGTTATTCTGGAAGTGATTGATTTTCATTCTCCAAAAAGAGTTGTACCATGTAGCTTGGCTTTTTTGTTGATGTTGATGTTTATATTATCCTCAATTAATTCTCCACATTTTCAAATGACCAGGTGGATTCTTGTCCCGCTTTCTTTGTTACTGAAGATAGCTGTTATCCTGTTCAGCAGTTTGTCATGTAAATACAACTAGTTGTTCAAGATTTATAATTGTGCAATCTGCTGACCTAGAAATTTAATATCTCAGTTTGCTCTAACAGGGTTGTGGATTATTAACTGCAGTTTCCTAATTGGGTGGTTGGAATCTGGAACTCGTGCCCCTCAACGGCTTGGATGTAGGTTTATATAACATTAACATTGTTATAGATGTTTTTAGAACCTCAAGGGCTCAGAAAAGCTGGATAAATGGCATAGATCAGCAGTGAATTAATAGAATACAGAACAAGTCAAGGGATTAAATGGGATAACAAGGTGTAGAGCTGGATGAACGGAGCAGGAAAGCTGATGTTTCGGATCTGGACCCTTCAGAAATGGGGGAGGGGAAGGGTATTCTGAAATAAATAGAGAGCGGGGGGAGGCGGATGGAAGATGGATAAAGGAGCAGATAGGTGGAGAGGAGACAGGCAGGTCAAAGAGGTGGGGATGGAGCCAGTAAAGGTGAGTGGTGGGGAGTTAGGGTGGGGATAGGTCAGTCCAGGGAGGACGGACTGGTCAAGGAGGCGGGATGAGACTGGTAGGTAGGAGGTGGGGATGGGGCTTGAGGTGGGATGAGTGGATAGGTGGGAGGAAGGATGGACAGGTTAGGAAGGCGGGGACGAGCTGGGCTGGTGTTGGGATGCAGTTGGGGGAGGGGAGATTTTGAAGCTTGTGAAGTCCACATTGATATCATTGGGCTGCAGAGTTCCCAAGCGAAATATGAGGTGCTGTTCCTGCAACCTTCGGGTGGCATCATTGTGGCACTGGAGGAGGCCCAGGATGGACATGTCGTCCAAGGAGTGGGAGGGGGAATTGAAGTGGTTCGCGACTGGGAGGTGCAGTCGTTTGTCGCGAGCCGAGCGTAGGTGTTCCACAAAGCGGTCTCCAAGCCTCCGCTTGGTTTCCCCGATGTAGAGGAGGCCACGTCGGGAGCAGTGGATACAGTATACCACATTAGCAGATGTGCAGGTGAACATCTGCTTGATGTGGAAGGTCTTCTTGGGGCCTGGGATGGGGCTGAGAGGGGGGAGCGTAAGGGCAGGTCTGGCACTTCCTGCGGTTGCAGGGACAAGTGGTGGGGCTGGTGGGGAGTGTGGAGCGGACAAGGGAGTCACGGAGAGAGTGGTCCCTCCGGAAGGCAGATAATGGTGGGGAGGGAAAAATGTCTTTGGTAGTGGGGTCAGATTGCAGATGGTGGAAGTGGTGAAGGATGGTGCGTTGGATCCAGAGGTTTGTGGGGTGGTATGTGAGGACGAAGGGGGATTCTGTTTTGGTGGTTGTTGAGGGGAGGGGGTGTGAGGGATGAGTTGCAGGAAATATGAGAGACACGGTCGAGGCCGTTCTCGACCACTTTGGACGGGAACAAAGAACAAAGAAAATTACAGCACAGGAACAGGCCCTTCGCCCCTCCAAGCCTGCGCCGATCCAGATCCTCTATCTAAACCTGTCACCTATTTTCCGAGGATCTGTATCCCTCTGCTCCCTGTCCATTCATGTATCTGTCTAGATACATCTTAAATGACGCTATCGTGCCCGCCTCTACCACCTCTGCTGGCAATGCGTTCCAGGCACCCACCACCCTCTGTGTAAAGAACTTTCCACGCATATCTCCCTTAAACTTTTCCCCTCTCACCTTCAAATCGTGACCCCTAGTCATTGAGTCCCCCACTCTGGGAAAAAGTTTCTTGCTATCCACCCTGTCTCGACCTCTCATGATTTTGTAGACCTCAATCAGGTCACCCCTCAACCTCCGTCTTTCTAATGTAAATAATCCTAATCTACTCAACCTCTCTTCATAGCTAGCGCCCTTCATACCAGGCAACATCCTGGTAAACCACCTCTGCACCTTCTCCAAAGCATCCACATCCTTTTGGTAATGTGGCGACCAGAACTGTACGCAGTATTCCAAATGTGGTCGAACCAAAGTCCTATACAACTGTAACAAGACCTGCCAACTCTTGTACTCAATATCCCATCCGATGAATGAAAGCATGCCGTATGCCTTCTTGACCGCTCTATCGACCCGCGTTGCCGCCTTCAGGGTGCAATGGACGTGAACACCCAGATCTCTCTGTGCATCAGTTTTCCCCAGGGCTTTTCCATTTACCATGTAGTTTGCTTTTGAATTGGATCTTCCAAAATGCATCACCTCGCATTTGCGAGGAAGTTGCGGTCCTTGAAAAACGAGGACATCTGGTATGTCCGGGAGTGGAATGCCTCATCTCAGGAGCAGATGCGGCGGAGGTGAAGGAATTGGGAACAGAGGATGGCATTTTTGCAGGAAGGTGGGTGGGAGGAGGCGTATTCTAGGTAGCTGTGGGAGTCATTAGGCTTGAAATGGATATTGGTTTCTAGGTGGTTGCCAGAGATGGAAACAGAGAGGTCCAGGAAGGAGAAAGAGGTATCGGAGATGGTCCATGTGAACTTAAGGTTGGAGTGGAAGGTGTTAGTGAAGCAATTCCACCACCTGCAATCTGATCCCACTACCAAAGAAATTTTTCCCTCCCCACCCTTATCTGCCTTCTGGAGGGGCCACTCTCTCCATGACTCCCTTGTCCGCTCCACACTCCCCACTAGCCCCACCAGCCTCACCACCCCTGGCACTTTTCCCTGCAACCGCAGGAAGTGCTACACCTGCCCCTACGCCTCCCCCCTCAGCCCCATCCCAGGCCCCAAGAAGACCTTCCACATCAAGCAGATGTTCACCCGCACATCTGCTAATGTGGTATACTGTATCCGCTGTTCCCGATGTGGCCTCCTGTACATCGGGGAAACCAAGCGGAGGCTTGGAGACCATTTTGTGGAACACCTACGCTCAGTTCGCGACAAACGACTGCACCTCCCAGTCTCGAACCATTTCAACTGCCTCTCCCACTCCTTGGATGACATGTCCATCCTGGGCCTCCTCCAGTGCCACAACGATGCCACCCGATGGTTGCTGGAACAGCATCTCATATTTCGCTTGGGAACCCTGCAGACCAATGATACCAATGTGGACTTCACAAGCTTCAAAATCTCCCCTCCCCCAACTGCATCCCAATACCAGCCCAGCTCGTCCCCGCCTCCCTAACCTGTCCGTCCTTCCTCCCACCTAACCACTCCTCCCACCTCAAGCCCCACCCCCACCTCCTACCTACCAACCTCATCCCGCCTCCTTGACCTGTCCGTCCTCCCTGGACTGACCTATCCCCACCCTAACTCCCCACTACACTCGCCTTTACTGGCTCTGTCTCCTCTCCACCTATCTGCTCCTTTATCCATCTTCCATCCGCCTCCCCCTCTATCTATTTCAGAATCCCCTTCCCCTCCCCCATTTCTGAAGAAGGGTCCAGACCCGAAACGTCAGCTTTCCTGCTGCTCTGATGCTGCTTGGCCTGCTGTGTTCATCCAGCTCTTCACCTTGTTATCTCAGATTCTCCCAGCATCGGCAGTTCCTACTATCTCTGAAGGGATTAAATGGGCTGCCTCTGTTCCGATATTGCAAGGTTTAATATTTCAGCAACATTATCAAGATGTAAATTTCTGTTTGGGGTGATTTGGTCTCCAAAAAGGAGGGATAAAATTCAGTTGGTATAAGAGCATGACTGTTTTACAAGTTCAGAAAGGAGCAGTCGCTCAAATGCTGCAGGTTTCAGCAAGCTTGAGTAAGGAGGTATTGGGAGACCTAAGTTTAAAATATTGAGGAATAGGAGAATGTGACACAAAAAAGGACTAAATTTACTGCAAAAATGAAACTTTAATAATGGAACAAAGGTCAGATTTAGACATATTCACGCTCAAAATCCAATCATGTTGTTAAATAATTATCTCCTCAAAATAATTTGTTAAACTTGATTTCTTGCTTTTTAGTGGAACTGATAAAGAGAAACGTTTTGAAGTTATTAAAAATCTTGGGACTCTGTATACTATTGTTGTGCCATGTGTTTTCTGCCCTAGGTTTCTGTTAGTAGGCCAAACTATGCCTTCTACTTTAGATGACGATTTCCTGAAGGATGGAATGGAAGCATTGTCCTCTCGCCCATTTCGCAATGTCAGTCGACAGAGTAGTCGACAATTATCTATGTGTGGCAGTCAAGAAAAGTCAACAATGAGGCAGATGAGTGTGACATCAGATCGGTCATCTATCAGAATTGAGGAGATTATACCTGCTGCCAGAGTGGCAATACAAGTGAGTAAAACTATAACTGCTGACAAGGATGGTGCTGTTATTGTTTGGCATACCATCTTCTACCTTACAGAGATACACCAACCCTGAAATTTCTTCCTACCTCCCTGTGGATGACGATACCAACAATGAGCACCAACAGCATTGTTTCCAGGATTCTGGCTCTTCTTTTTTTGCCATGTGCTGGTTCATCTAGTTTTCTTGCCTTTTTTTTAACTTTCAGATTGAGCTACTCAATTTTTTTTTTTTCATTTATGTTCCAAGTAAATGATTCTTTCTTTGCGACAGAAATTTCCATTCCTTTCATCTTTGACATAAAGTCAGAGAGTCATGCAACATGGAAACAGACCATTCGGTCCAACCAGCCCGCGCAGACCATGTTCCCAAACTAAACTGTCCCACCTACCTGCGCTTGGCCCATGTACCTTCAAACCTTTCCTATTCATGTACGTATCCAAATGTCATTTAAACATTGTAACTGTACCTGTATTCACCACTTCCTCTGGCAGCTTGTCGCACACACTAAAATTGCCTCCCCGTCTTTTTAAATTCTTTTCCTCTCAGCTTAAAAATATATCCCCTAGTTTTGAACTCACCCACCTTAGGGAAAAGACCTTTGCTATTCACCTTATCTATGCCCCTCATGATTTTATAAACTTCTATAAGGTTGCCCCTCAACCTCCTTACCTCCAGTGGAAAAAGTCCCAGCCTATCCAGCCTGTTTTATAACTCAATCCCTGTATAACTCACATCCTGGTAAATCTTTTCTGAACTCTCCAGTTTAATAATATCCTTCCTATAACAAGGCAGCCAGAACTGCGCACACTACTCCAGAAGAGGCCTCACCAACATCCGGTACAACCTGAATATGACATTCCAAGTCTAATACTCAATGGTCTGTGCAATGAAGGCAAGAATTATGTACCTGAACCCCTAAGTCTCTCTGTTCTACAAACCAGGGCCCTACCATTAATTGTATAAGTCCTACTCTTGTTTGTTTTACCAAAATGCAAAACCCCACATTTATCCAAATTAAACTTCATCTGCCACTCCTCAGCCCATTGACCCAATTGATCAAGATCTCTTTGAATCTTGTCTAATGTTACACGCTGTTCTGAGTTTGATTGCTTCAGATTCTGAGTTGATTGATCAGACCTGCTATTTCTAGGAGCTTCTGTACCATTTTGCTCCTGTTTTCTGCGACCTCTGTAACATAGGTATTTGTGCATTAACGTTCAGGTATTTTGCAAGTGCAGCTTGTTTTAATGGTAAGGTGGCAGTCTTGTCACATGCTACTCTTTTTTGTAAAAGTTTGTTTACTATCTGCAATCTGAGAAACTGCTATTCCAGACATAAATATTAAAATAATGCCATTGAGTTGCACGACTTCATTTTGCAAGAATGTTGAGTGCAACACCACCAAGGCCAGACTTGGAATTTTGTGATGGTGGGGCCAGTTTGTACAAATATTCTTAATGGTGAAGCCATAAAAAGGAACAATGGAAATTATCAGTGTAAAAATATTATTGAAAGTTTTTCCCTTGGCATTTGACATGAGATTATACTTGCCCTTCCAAAGCCCCTCAGTTATAAAGTTGGATGAAGGTTTTTGGCTTTCTTCAAATACCCCTATATGTTAATAAACAGATACCCCTAAGGAAAGAGATGAAAATGATTATGACAATCCTATCATGGTAGAAGAAAAGGGACAAATTAATCTTGAGATTTATCAGCTTCTTTTGAAGAATCTAATGTTAGTTGTTTGAATAAGTTGTTACAGGAACCATTGTCAGAAGTCACACAACACCAGATCATAGTCCAACAGGTTTTATTAAAATCGCAAGCTTTTGGAGCGCTGCTTCTTCATCGGGTGATGAAGAGCAGCGCTCCAAAAGCTTGTGATTTTAGATAAACCTGGTATAGTGTGACTTCTGACTTTGTCTACCCCATTCCAGCACCATCATCCCCACATCACTGGAATCATTGGGTAGCAGCTCCACTTGTGTTACAACCTGAGTTCACACATTCACCTTCTGAGGTGTAGTATGCCAGCTATTTGTCCATCAAGTGTTAGAGTTGTGTGTTTTTATTTAATGTGAACATGTGTAACTTTATGTTGCAGACAATGGATGTGAATGATTTCACCTCAACAGTGGCCTGTTTCATGAGGCTGACATGGGCAGCAGCTGCTGGACGTCTTGACCTGGTGGGGAGCTGTCAGCCAATTAGAGAGAGTACCAATTCTCTGTTTTCTGTTGGTATCCGAAATAGGCTCAGCAGTTCAGGTGAGGAATTCCAGTGTGCCCTGGAAACGTTTCCTTGCATAGGTAATCTTTATTTGTCTGCTTTGATTTGAAGATTGGAGTGTAACTATCGACAAGTTCTTTTCAAATGAGATACCACGGCAAGTAGCATAAATTATCTATTTACCTTCAGATATGTCTCCCAACCTGTCAAAAACATCAAATAGATGATGTTTCACAGTTCTCAGAACCTCTTTCAACCATTTGGCGTATTCTTCCATGGCCTTCATGTGAAATATCATTGCTGGACATGAGGATCAGGAATTAATTTAAGTTGCTGTTTACTCGTGTTGTTCTGGTCATCTAGGGTTATCCCCCAGATTTGCTTCTTTTCACTCTGGGACCTGTACTCTCACTACCTGTCACTTTTTCTCACAACATAGAAAATCATTTATTGAATTACTGTGTTTGAATGCGTCCTGTCCAACTCTTTGGCCTGTTATGATGAAACTTGGCTCTATAATTGTGCATTTGAAACAACTGGTGTGAGACAGTAAATCTGATATTTAGCATTACTGGTTTTATTTAATTGTTTTCATGAATTTTCATAGACTGCTTCTCTGTTATCTAATAAATTTCATAGAAATTGTTACCATAGCATGATGGGTATGTGAAGCAGCTTTTTTTGGCGAAGTATCAAATATACTGTCAAATTTTTCTAATGCAAGATGGGGGGAAATTTCATGCAAGCCAAATGACATACATGTTTTAACTTTTACAGGCAGCACTTGCAGTTCAGGAAGTGAAGGTGAATCAACTACACTACATGCAGGCATATGTGTGAAGCAACACTCAGTCTCCACCAAAGATACACTCATTGCTCGAGAGGCCTTATCGCTCCTAGTGACATGTTTACAGCTCCGGTGCCAGCAACTTGGTAATGTCTTTCACAGGACGGATTATCTATTTGAAGCAAAATAACACTAAACTCTTGCACGGGAGATGCAGAAGGGGTATTTCCCCAGAAAAGATTGGTTGGGTGTCTAGAAGCAAGGGATGCAGTCTCAGATAATGAGATAGAATGTTAAGGACTGAGATGAGGAGGAATTTCTTCCTGCATGGGGTGGCGATTCTCTGGAGTCCTCTATCTTAGAGGAATTGGGCAGCTCGGTCATTGAGTATGTTCAAGAGAGCAATCAGTAGATTTATAGATTTTAAAGATATCAAGGATATGGAAATAGTGTGGGAAAATGCCATTAAGAGAGAAGAGCTGCTATGATCTAGTTGATTGACAAAGTAGATTCACAGAGCTGGTTGACCTATTCCTGCTCCTATTTCCTATTTTTCTGTTATATTTGAGAGATGGATCCACTTTAAAGCGACATTTGTCTTTCATAATACACGTACGTGGCAACACACCAGTTTGTCTTATTTTATAAGTAAATCGCATAGAATGCAAAAAATCGAATGCATTTATAAAAATATTTCCTCTGTGAAAGCTTATCACCATGTTCAAAATAAAATGTAACCAGAGAGCTACTTGTAGATTTCCGTTTGCAGGAAGGTTCAAGAAGGTATCCTTTGGTGATACATTTCTGCCTCGTTAATTTTTATACTTGTTTTATTTTAAAACTTAGTGAATAGAGTAGAAAAACTCCTTTGTTAAATCACCATTTCAACTTCACTCTTTGCTTTAGGATTGATTTCACCAAATTCCCTTAAATACAACTTATGTGTAACTGTGCTTAAAAATTGGGGTCTTGTTCTAAGAAGCACTTGTGTTCTGTTAAGTGAAGCAGCTGAGATGAAGAAGAGAATTGCTGCTGGTAGACAAGGCCAAAGAAAAAGAGAAGCAGAATAAATATAATATATTTTGATACCAAATGGCTTTTGGAAAAAGGAATTACACATAAAGTTGAGGAAATTCAATTTTAAAGTAACCATCATGTCACTGTCTTCACATTTAATGATGTAATGGGAAATATAGACGACAGATTAAAGGAACTGCATGACCTAAGCTGTAATTAAAACGTAAAATAAGTCTAGAAACTTGAGAGGAAAAACCCCCAAAGAATTGCAGATGCTGGAAATCAGAAACAAAATCAAAAATTGCTGGAAAAATTCAGCAGGTCTGGCAGCATCTGTGGAGAGAAAGCACAGTTAATATTTTGGGTCCAGTGACCCTTCTTCAGAACTTGACAGGGTAGTTTAGAACTTAGAGAATAGAGACTTGAAGAAACCAAAAGCATTTTAAAAACCTGAGCTGAGAAATATCTGTGCTAACATCTGTGTTCAAAGAGATTAATATCTGGTGGTTTTCAATGACAACAGTAGACTGGAAGTTCATTTAAACCATGGTTTGCTCTTTTGTCTTAGGTTCTTTTTATGTTCTTCCTTGTGTGAGTGATTTCATCATTGACATACTACTTGGATCCCCAAGTGCTGAGGTAAGGGAAATAGAAAATGCGTACAAAAATCCGATTTGCACCAAGTTTCTCTGGGAGCTCTAGCAAGCTGTACATTATTGGGATAATGTGGAGCAATTAAGAGATCAAAAATCAGATCTGTAATTAAAAGTCCCTTTCCATAGGGGAAGCTGAATTAACGTGCTGTTGAGTGAGTGATTACTATTGTGAATTTGAATGTTTAGCAATAGCGACTCTGGATGAAATAACAAGTCAAGCAAATCCAGAAAAGTGCCCACTTGTCTTCACAAACTCAGCTGTAAATGTGAAGATTCCAACAATTTTGAATCAATATTTTGAATGAATGGATCCTCCTGAAAATTACGTATGACCTTTTTGGAAGTATTGAAAGTAAACATGGATCCTTTAGAATGAAAGTAATAAAAATTATCATGGGAAATAAGAAAATGGCAAAGATGTTTAGCAGATGTTTTATGTCTGTCAAAAGGGCACATAGAACAGATTGGAAGTAGGCAGTTACACTGATATCCATAGTAAGGAAATGCTGCAATCAATTATTAAGTACCTAGTAATGAGGCATTTTGCAAACCATAATGAATAGGCTGTGTCAACGCCATTTTTGAAAAGGAAATTGATAAATCTACTTATTTGTTGACAGTTTAACCAACAGGAAAGAAACCCAGTGAATGTAATTTATTTTAATTATCAGAAGGCATTCAACAGGGTACTGCACAGATTGTTGTCATGCAAGATTCAGGGAGCAAGGGAGTGAGGCTGGTGTAGTGTGATAGTATCACTGGACTAGTAAGCCAGAGTCTGAAGGCTAATTCTGAGGACGTAGGTTCAAATCTCACCCACGTCAGCTGGTGAAATTTAAATTCAGTTTATCAAATCTGTAACTGAAAGGTGATCTCACTAATACTGACTGTGAAGCCATCATCAATTTTCATTTAAAGATAACATCACTCGTGCCCTTTAGAGAAGGAAATCTGCTGTATGCATGACTCTTGATTGCCCTTTGAAATATCCTAGTAAGCCACACAGCTCAAAGAAAGTTAGGGATATGCAGCAAAGGCCTTCCAGCAATGCCCACATCCCATTGAAAGAAGATATTAAAAAGATAATAGCTCATGAGATTTGGAGTATTAACAGTGTGGATTGCAGATTGGTTGATGGACAGAAAAGTGTAGAAATAAATTGGACATTTACAGGATAGCAGGATGCAACACAAATCCATGCTGGGGCCGCAGCTATTTTAGTTTGTGCCAATGGCTTAGATACTTTATTACATTACGTTTTGCTGATAGTACAAAGATAGGTAGGAAAGCAGATGTGATGAGAACACAGAGGTTTTAAAGAGGTATAGGCCAGTTGATGATGGGGAATGATGCCACACAGAATGTTGTCACCCAAGATCGAGGGAGCAAGGTTGGTGTTGGTTTAGTATCACTGAGCAAGTAATCTGGAGACCGTGGCCCAGTTTGACCATTAACATATGTAAAGTTGTTGGTAGGAATAATCAACACTCAGAATATTAATCAGAAATCGAGAAACTAACAAATAATGAGATTAAACGAATTTGGTGACCTGTGCTTAAATTAGAATATTAACATGCAGGTTGAGCAAATGCGTTAGGAAGGCTTGTGTTAGCCTTTATAGGAGCCAGCTTACAATGTAAGGTTAAGGAAGTTTTACTAAAATTACAAAGGGTTTTGGTGAGACCATATATGGAACATTGTATGGTTTTTGCCTCCTTAATGAAGAAAGGATAAAACTGCATTAGTGGGGTTGCATTAGAACAATTTTGGAAATGAAAGCACTGACCTGTGAAGTGAAATTGAGTAAAACAAGCCAATATTTTATATAATTTAGGAGAATGCGAAGTAATGTCATTGAAAGGTTGTGAGATACACTTTGGTGAGTCAGTGACTAGAGGTCATTACTTCAAAGTAGGGGGTCAGCCATTTAGAGCCAAGTTCAGAGGTTCCTTCACTTAGGAATCATGAATGTTGGAAATTCTCTACTCCTAGGCTGGGGATGTTCAGTTGATACATTTGAAACATGGATTGATAGATTTTGGTCACTAGGAAAATGAACTATGGGGATAGGGAGGGAAAGCTGAGTTAATGTAGAAATTGAGCTGTGATATTGTTGAATAGCAGAAGTGGCTTGATAGGCTGTGTGACCCACTGTGGCTCCTACTTCTGTGTACTTGTTTGTCGATTATTTCATATCTTCACAGATAAGAAGAGTTGCCTGGGATCAGTTGTACACACTGAGCCAAACAGATACCTCAACAAACCCAGAAATACAGAAACCTAATCAGTTCCTTCTGCATGTCATATTGACAACACAACTACCATTGTGGTCCCCAACGAGCATCATGCGTGGGGTCAACCAAAGGTAGGTTTTCAGTAGGTTAAAAAAAAAATCTGAAGTCCTAAAATACGGGCCTGATTTGATCAAAAACTGTCTGAAGACCTGTTTCTTTTTATTGTTGTTGAAGAATTGTAGCATTAGGATAAATGTGAGCTGGTGTTTGGAGATGGACCTAATAATTATAATTCTAACCTTGTCAGTTTCTTGAACTCTGCTGCTCAAATATTCCTCTTAGAGAAACTATCTAAATAGATGACAAAGTCACTGAGATACTGACTACTGTTGAATGGTTAAGACCTGCAAAATCCTCGGACCAAAGTATAAATAAGACTTACATTTCTGTTCAAAAAAACCATGTTTCATTTGAAAATAATTGTCCTTGTTTGTTTTTGAAGGCTTTTGTCTCAGTGTACTGAATATTTTGGCTTGAGGTGCCAATTGTTGGATGACTTAACATGTGAGTATGAAGGATTGATTTATAGATTAAATGTAAGTGATCAGCACGTTCTTTCTTCAGTTTGTCCAAGCTGTGCATTTGATAAATTTCCAATATAACCCGAATTTTTGGTAGTTTCTAATCATTGAATTACATTTAAATTTTAGTCCAAATAAATGTCACTCTCTATGACTGCTTTTGCTCATTAGGAACTTGGGAGGTACATTAAGAGTCACAGCACAATCAAAACAAGCAATGTAATTACAAGGCAATTACCTAATCCAGAGTTAAGATGTGAGAGGAATATTGCATTCTATATTGTACTATAGTATCATAACTACAATAAAAGCAAATGCTGGAAAACGGAAATAAAACAAAGTGCTGGAGAAGCTCTGCAGATCTAGCAGCATGTTGGGAGGGAGGAACTGTTAATGTTTTGACTCTGATAAGATACTTCTTCATTAGTCGTGATGTTAATTCTGATCTGCTCCCCACAGATGCTACCAGACTGCTGAGTTTCTCTGTTTTCTGTTTTTATTTGTAGTATTTTGGTGGCATTTAACCTAACCAACTTTAAGGCAATATTAAATGTACTTCATAGAATCCCTACAGTATGGAAACAGGCCATTCAGCCCAACAAGTCCACACCACCCCTCTGAAGAGCATCCCACCCAGACCCTTCTCCCTACCCTTTCCCTGTAACCCTACAGTTCCCATAGCTAACCCATCTCACGTACACACCCCTGGGCACTACGGGCGATATAGCATGGCCAATTCACCTAAACCGCGCATCTTTGGACTGTGGGAGGAAACCAGAGCACCCGGAGGAAACCCACACAGACATGGGGAGAACCTGCAAACTCCACACAGACGGTCGCCTGAGTGTGGAATCGAACCCGGGTCCCTGGCACTGTGAGGCAGCAGTGGTAACCATTCAGCCACCATGCTGCCCTGTGTAATATCATTGAAATTTAATTTCCGAATTTTTGCTGCAAACATTTCATCATTTGCTACATTCATACCATGCTGGTACCTTTCGGAATCAATCTACCATTAATTTCCGCTACACTGAGCTGTCTGTAATGCTCTGTGTCATCTTAGTCAGATAATCCTACATTTCTCAAAAACGATGAATTTGTTTTGCCTCAACAGCACCCTGTGGTCAATCATTGCGTTCTAAGAGTTCTTTACACAGGAGAATTTATCCTAGCCCCTCTTCTTGCTCTTGTTGCTATTTTAAGTTGATGACCCTTGTCTTTGACTCCCCACCTGGAGAAATAGCCTTCTCTGTTCCCTACCAATTGCCTTCACAATTTTAAATCCTCAATGGGATATCTCAGTATTTTCTTTTCCAGTGGAAGTAATAGTATCTCAGATCTCTTTTCATAACCGTAGCTGCTTGCCTGATAGTCTGGGATCTGCATTATATACTCTGCGTGGTTTTAATACCTAGTCTGTAATGGAATGCCAGAATTTCACAATTATTGTGCTTTAATTGTGACCGATGATTACTTTGTACAAATTTGTCATTTGACCTCTTTCTGGCCTGTCAGCCAAATTTCTACCCATTTTACTAGAAATCCTCATTCGACATGACCAGATATATTTCCTGTGAGACATCTTAATGGCCCTTTATTTTTCATTTAGGCTACAGTTTGCTTGTATACTTTAACTGTGGAGTTTTAGTCTTTACACTTAGTTTTGTTATATAGGAATATATCTGATTTGTATTGAAACTTTTCTTTATCTGAAAATTAGTAATTAGTAAATAATTAAGAAAGCAAATCTAATTGTGACTTTTATTGCTAAGGAGTTGGAGTTTGAAAACAGGGAAGTTTTGTTACAATTATACGAAGTGTTATTGATACTGCACTGGAGCACTGTGTTTAGCTTTGGTCCCCGAATTTAATAAGGGATATGTTGACATTGGAGGCAGTTTAAAAGAGATGCAATAACCTTATTCCTGGAATGAAGGGGTTGACTTAATAAGAGCGGCTAAACAGGTTGGCTGTTTGTTCATTAGAGTTTAGAAGAATGAGAGGTGATCTTATTGAATCATCAGATTCTAAGGAAATGTTTCCACTAATGGGGTGATTGTGACCGAGGGGCATTCATTTAAAACTGAGATGCAGAGTAATTACTTCTGTGAGGGCAGTGAATGTCTGGAATTATCTATCCCAGAAGGTATGGAGACTGGATCGCTGAGAATATTTGAAAAGGAAGTAGATTTTTTTGAAATATTGAGGATTTGAGGGCTTGCTATGAAAGAGACGTTAAGGCCTGGGACAGATCAGTCATGATCTTGTTCAACGACAGGACTGGCTTGAGAGGTTTACTGGCTTACTCCTATCTCTTATGTTATAATGATTTCCCACTCCTGATCTGTTGTTCTATTCACTAACTATTTTTCCCAGTAAATTTTGTCCATCTCTCCTTATGTCAGCAAATTTTATACTTGTTTCCCAAGTTAAAAATCGTTATCATTAACACTTTTTATTATCCTTGTTACTTTACACATTTAACTTTAATGTGTTTTGCTTGTTAAGTGATAGTTTGTCAATTCATATCAGTTTCAGCCAGAATTAAATTATGCTTCTTCATTTGAGATAAGGTAAAACCATAAGCAAAAGTGATCATTAAATTGTTAGAAAGGTATAGCTTTGCATTGGCTATTGCTATCTGATCCAGACCTGCCTACACAAGATGTAATGCTGAGTAATGGAATGGATGCACTGTCTCTACAACAGCATTTGACCTAGTTTAGTCAGGGATAACACAAGTTTTGACCCAAGTACTGCTTTGCCTTCTATCCAGTGTATTTTAACTCTACTTATTGTCAATTTTCTGTTTCTTTCACAAGATTTTTTTTTGACTTCTTGAGGTTGCCAGTTTACATTGGAATTGAGAACAGCTTGTGACTTGAATTTGCACCACTTTGGAATGGGTTTAAAATTCCTAGAAAAAACTTAGGAGTGTTGTATGGATTGGAGAGGGAGGATATTTATTGTACATCTGTCTGTGTTAAGTTTAAAGCACATATCATGGAAACAATAGTGCTATGCAGTCTCAAATTAACAGCAGATATGTCTGATTTTCAGCAGTCATTAATATTGAAATTAACCACCTACTTCCTTTTTAGCTTCGGAGATGGAACAGCTTCAAATTAGCCCTGCAGCCATGTTAGAAGATGAGGTTAACTGGCTTGACAACTTTGAACCCACATGGACTGCTGAATCAGAGACTAGTGAGTCAGATAACGTTCTGCTCGCAGGACATCTGCGGCTTATCAAAACGCTACTGTCACTCAGCGGTCCAGAGAAGGAATTACTTGGTAATTTAACTTTATTCGTACAATTATTAAAAATGTGTGTCAGAACATTGAATCCATCTTCATATAATTCTAAGGAATCAAACTAGCAAGATTGTGATTTCTGTCGTATGTTTTAGAGAAGTCAGCCCCAAAGTATAGTTAATAATGCTTCTATGTTTTGTTCCCGTTGCCCCATGCATTAATATCATCTTATGTAAGAAGAATTTGTAAGGAAACCTAAAATAACTAATCAAATTATTGTTCATGTAACACTTGACACATTTTGTTCCACAAATAAATACCAGCCATATAAGAGATGAAAAATATGATGATCAGCTGTATAATGGGTTTAGTTTGTTCTTTCTTGAGGGAGAATTGTTGGAAACTACCACCTGTTGTATGTTTATTTTACAATGGCAAAACATTGGTGATGGATATTGCAAATTGAGTGGGAATTGGAAAGAAATTATTGGTTAAAGTGCATGCTAATGTACCAACAGATGATTTGAACTCAGTCAGCTGGGGAGCAGAATGTTACAGTTGTATAAAGATGGTAACCGGATGGTAGACCCATGTCATCCCTGGTGTCTGGTTGCAGAGTGAAATCTGCAGTACTTAAAATCAGGTGGCACGATTTTGAACTGTAGAAGCAACTAAACTAAGAACTGTTTTAAGAAAAGCACCCATTTGGGTAAGAATGCTTAATAAAGGATTGCAAACATTCTCAGTGAATGAATGGAGTTAGTTGAATCTGTGAGGTTACCACTGATAACGCTCTGTTACCTTGCTGTTGGAACCACAGTTTTTAAGAATGCATGGAGGTAAATAGGCAAAAATGAAAAACTATTTGCACTGTCCCTTGAATGAATTAATCTTGCTCAATTACCTCTGAAATTCCTCAATTAGATGAAGCTTCTTTCATGTTTTATGGCATGTTTTTAAATGACAAACAATCTGTACTTCTTTACTAGGTGGTGATACAATCACAAAAATTGTTAGAATATAACTCAAATAAATATATAGTTGTTAACCTGCATTGCTACAATCCTGCCTTCCTGTCATTTTGAGACTTAGCAATATCCAAATAAACAGTACAATTCATTTACAACCCTTGTATCCACAATAAATTCAGGTGATATAGGTAATGTTACAATATAAAGGCATTAGTCTCATGTCTATACTATTTTATACAACTTGGATGGAGTCTTCCCCAAAATGCCTGCCACATCTCTGTGTATAATTCTGTCTCTGGTACCGGAATTACCAATTGCTCTTCTAAACACCTCATAGATGATGTGTGTAGTGGTAATGCTGTGGGCTGAGTCTTTGGTCCTCCTTTTATTATCTGAAGCCCTCAATTGCCTTCTTTAAAAAAAATGTTTGAATCAGGCAACAAGGCCCTCGCTTTGACTGTTGTTGCGTGTGGCTGACTTCTTTTGCCATTGTCCTCCATTCTTTATTGTTGACACCATCACTACTTTACCTTTTGTTCTATTCATTTTGATTTGGAACTGTGCGTTGCAGTCAAGAATTGAACTTTGAACTTAGAAAGTGGCGAAAACAATTTCTGAAGAAGGGTCTAGGCCCAAAACGTCAGCCTTCCTGCTCCTCTGCTGCTTGGCCTGCTGTGTTCATCCAGCTGTACACCTTGTTATCTCAGATTCTCCAGCATCTGCAGTTCCTACTATCTCTAAAACAAAAGACTGATGTTTACTGTTGTGAACTGGCCTGGAAAGATAATGCAAGTTAATTGCTGCCTTAAGAACACTGTAGACAATTCAGCACCAGGGTGCTGTTATACTCAGGGACTGGCAGCTGGTTGGATCAATCAAGGGAGGATAAGTGCTGATAAGAGGATAAGAATGTTGAAAAAGAAGGGAAAAAAATCAGAGTGAACTGAGTTTTGGGCAGGAAGCAGTTTTGCTTTGAAAGCTGCTAGACTGGGTTTGGTTTTGTTTGATTTTGCTCTGTCGAGTTATTCTCCATTTATTGACTTGTTGAAAGTTCCGAGAAGAGAATTCCAGTTGTATGAAATAAGTACAAATTTCCAGAGGTCTTTGGAAGCTGTTTGCATTGACTGAGGACTTGGCAATTAACACAAAATACACAGTCTTGCATGCCTGTAGTAAAACCCATCTTCCAGGGATGTCGTGGAGGCCTGGTATTCATATAGTTATCAAAGTGGCAAATATCAATATACAGTGACCTTCAAAATCACCCATTTGTTCCTGATCTGACAGATATCTGACACCAATATTGTTTATAGCATAAACAGAAATTAACAACTGAATCTTAATACTGTAAATCTGGCAGAGCAAAGTTAAACAACAAGGTAATGTAATTAATCTCTATGATTTACACACAATCGTCTTTGATTATAGCCCCACTCTGTCACACAGACAGACACAGTTAGGGGAGAAATTTTAAAAAAACAAAGTTGTAACTTGCTAATTCACTTACGCAGTTTTGAATAATGATTGCTAAACCTTCATGCAGTCCTTGGATAATAAGCTGTTGACAAGCACGTGGGACTGTAAAGCTTGCTTGAATTCCAAAGACCCTGGTCAATGCAAACAGTTTCCACAAACTGCTGGAGACTTTTACGTACATCTTCCAGACTGATGTTCTTTTCTCAATTTTGAATAATTCAATAACCGGAGGATAACTAGAGAGCAACCAAACTCCGTCCATCAGCTTTCACAGGCATGCTGCTTTCTACCCAAAACCCAGTTTAAACCAATTCACTCTATGGTTTAGAGATAGTGGGAACTGCCGATGCTGGAGAATCTGAGATAACAAGATGTAGAGCTGGATGAACACAGCAGGCCAAGCAGCATCAGAGGAACAAGAAGGCTGACGTTTCAGGTCTGGACCCTTCTTCAGAAATGGGGAAAGGGGATTCTGAAATAAATAGGGAGAGAGGGGGAGGCGGATAGAAGATGGATAAAGGAGCAGATAGGTGGAGAGGAGACAGACAGGTCAAAGAGGCGGGATTGGAGCCAGTAAAGGTGAGTGTAGGTGGGGAGTTAGGGAGGGGATAGGTCAGTCCAGGGAGGACAGGATGAGGCCAGTATAGGAGATGGCGGTGGGGCTTGAGGTGGGAGGAGTGGATAGGTGGGAGGAAGGACCGATTAGGAGGCGGGGTCAAGCTGGGCTGGTTTTGGGAGGCGATCGGGGGAGGGGAGATTTTGAAGCTTGTGAATTCCACATTGATACCATTGGGCTGCAGGGAGTGGAGGGCTGCACGTTCTGTGGGGGAGAGGTTGGAGTGGGTGAGAGAGGTGGAGAAGTTGAGGCGATTAATAGTGAGCCTAACCCTCCCTCTACTGACCCTTTCTCCCGCCTCCAACACACCCCGTCCTCCGGGACACCACCCCAAGGCCTCCTACCCTCCCTCAACCTCTTCATCTCCAACTGTTGTCGCGACATCAGTCGCCTCAACCTTTCCAACCTCTTCCCCCACAGAACGTGCAGCCCTCCGCTCCTTCCGCTCCAATCCCAACTTCACCATAAAACTCGCGGACAAGGGAGGCGCAGTTGTATGGCGCACTGACCTCTACGTCGCCGAGGCCAGGCGCCAACTCTCCGACACCACCTCCTACCGCCCCCTTGATCATGAGCCCACCCCCGACCACCAAAACATCATCTCCCAAACCATCCACAACCTCATCACTTCAGGTGACCTCCTGCCCACAGCCTCCAACCTCATCATTCCCCAACCTCACACCGCCTGTTTCTATCTCCTTCCCAAAATCCACAAACCTAACTGCCCTGGTCGACCCATTGTCTCCGCCTGCTCCTGCCCCACCGAACTCATCTCCACTTATCTCAACTCCATTTTCTCCCCCTTGGTCCAGGAACTGCCCACCTACGTCCGTGACACCACCCACGCCCTCCACCTCCTCCAAAACTTCCGATTCCCTGGTCCCCAACACCTCATCTTTACCATGGACGTCCAGTCCCTATACACTTGCATTCCCCATGCAGATGGCCTAAATGCCCTCCACTTCCTGTCCCGCAGGCCTGACCAGTCCCCCTCCACTGACACCCTTATCCGCTTAGCTGAACTCGTCCTCACTCTTAATTTCTCTTTCAATTCCTCCCACTTCCTACAGACAAAAGGGGGTGGCCATGGGTACCCGCATGGGCCCAAGCTATGCCTGCCTCTTTGTAGGATACGTGGAACAACCCCTCTTCCGAAGCTACACTGGCCCTATCCCCTACCTCTTCCTCCATTGCATCGATGAACGTATCGGTGCCGCCTTGTGCTCCCACGAGGAGCTCGAACAGTTCATCCACTTCACTAACACCTTCCACCCCAACCTTAAGTTCACCTGGACCATCTCCGGTACCTCTCTCTCTGTTTCCATTTCTGGCAACCACCTGGAAACTGATATCCATTTCAAGCCTACCGTCTCCTACAGCTACCTGGAATACACCTCCTATCACCCACCTTCCTGCAAAAATGTCGTCCTCTATTCCCAATTCCTTCGCCTCTGCCACACCTGCTCCCGAGATGAGGCATTCCACTCCCGGACATCCCAGATGTCCTCGTTTTTCAAGGACCGCAATTTCCCCTCCACAGTAATTGAAAACGCCCTTGACTGTGTCTCTTGCATTTCCTGCAACTCATCCCTCACACCCCCTCCCTGCAATAACAACCAAAACAGAATCCCCCTCATCCTCATGTACCACACCACCAACCTCCGGATACAACGCATCATCCTCCGGCACTTCCGCCATCTGCAATCTGACCCCACTACCAAAGACATTTTTCCCTCCCCACTCTTATCTGATTTCCGGAGGAACCCCTCTCTTCCTCCGTGACTCCCTTGTCCGCTCCACATTCCCCACCAGCCCCACCACCCCCGGCACTTTTCCCTGCAACCGCAGGAAGTGCTACACCGCCCCTACACCTCGCCCCTCACCCCCATCCCAGGCCCCAAGAAAACCTTCCCCATCAGATGTTCACCTGCACATCTGCTAATGTGGTATACTGTATCCGCTGTTTCCGATGTGGCCTCCTCTACATCGGGGAAACCAAGTGGAGGCTTGGGGACTGCTTTGTGGAACACCTACGCTCGGTTTGCGATAAACGACTGCACCTCCCAGTCGTGAACCATTTCAAGTGCCCCTCCCACTCCTTGGACGACATGTCCATCTTGGGCCTCCTCCAGTGCCACAACGATGCCACCCGAAGGTTGCAGGAACAGCACCTCATATTTCGCTTGGGAGCCCTGCAGCCCAATGGTATCAATGTGGACTTCACAAGCTTCAAAGTCTTCCCCTCCCCCGACCGCATCCCAAAACTTGCCCAGCTCGTCCCCGCCTCCCTAACCTGTCCTTCCTTCCACCTATCCACTCCTCCCACCTCAAGCCCCACCCCCATCTCCTACCTACTAGCATCATCCCGCCTCCTTGACCTGTCTGTCCTCCCTGGACTGACCTACCCCTCCCTAACTCCCCACCTACATTCACCTTTACTGGCTCCAACCCCATATCTTTGACCTGTCTGTCTCCTCTCCACCTATTTTCTCCTTTATCTTCTATCCACCTCCCCCTCTTTCCCTATTTATTTCAGAATCCCCTTCCCCTCCCCCATTTCTGAAGAAGGGTCTAGACCCAAAATGTCAGCTTTCCTGCTCCTCTGATGCTGCTTGGCCTGCTGTATTCATCCAGCTCTACACCTTGTTATCTCAGTCTATGGTTTCTCTTGTTTTCAACTTTGTTTTGACTGGCCAGCCCTTGAATTGACCCTTTTAACATCCAAGCAGCTGCCAATCCTTGAGAGTAATACATTTGAAGTGCCAAAACATCTGCGACATTCTTGGAATAAAAATCAACCTACAATTGACTCGCCAGACCAGTTCCCATAAACAAATATCGGTTTGTTTGTTCCTTCCTTTTTAAAAAAGTAAGGTGCTGCTCAAAGACCAAAGCTCAATTCTTAACTTCAGTTCACAGTTCCAGATAAACAATGATGCTTCCAACAAGGAGGAGCAAATTACTGGAATCTGCTAAAAACAAAAAATGCTGGTGATCACAGTGGATCAGGCGGCATCCATGGAGAGAAAACAAGCTATTGTTTCGAGTCTAGATGACTCTTCTTCAGAGCTCCCAACAAGTCTGGTTAGCAAAAATTGAACGATTTTTGAGGGTCATTGAATGTTTTAAGTTGACTGTTGCAAATTCAGTGATGGAGAAGCTGATTTAGTTTGGCTTGCTATCTGTGTTTTAATGTTTGCATATTAGCAAGGTGAAAGATGTGAGTTGTATGGATCTGAATCATCTTTGACTGAAAACAAATGGTTGCCCACATAATACAACTCTACACTACTTCAACTGCAGAACTACTTGTGTGATTGTTTAGGTCTTGGTTTTGCAATTATGTACAACCTTTCTAATGCAGTTGTTGGTTGGTTCGCCGAACTGACTGGTTTTCATGCAAATGTTTCGTCTCCCTTCTAGGTGACATTGTCAGTGCTGTGCAGCCTCCATTGAAGTGCTGTTGTTCTGTCCTGGTATGAATTCATAAGGTCCAATCTGTCATAGTGGGCAGTCTTGTTTCTGGTTTTGTCCTGTAGTGGTATGTAGCTGGAGTCTATTGAAATGAACAAACATATTGAAATAGACCCCATCTACATATCACTGTGGTACAAAACCGGAAACAAGACTGCCCACCATGTCAGGCCAGGCATTATAAATTCAGAGCGGGACAGAACAACAGCGCTGTTGTCCGCTGTCCTCAACGGAGGCTACACAGCACTGACGATGTCACGTAGAAGGGAGACGAAACATTTGCATGAAAACCAGTCAGCTCGGTGAACCAACCAACAACTTCAACCACAACCTGAGCTACAGATCTTCGTTAAAACATTGAACCTTTCTGATCTTGAATTTAAATTAAGTTTGGGATATATCAAAACAGTGATTTGTATAAAAGAAGCAAAATACTGCAGATTCTGGAGGTCTGAAATAAAAACTGTGTATGTGGAGAGAGAAACTGAGTTCATGTTCTGAAACTACTGACCGTCTTTTGAAACTGTATGATTAGTACTTTGGTACCTCGCTGCAAAGGAGAGGTTCATTATGGAGCATCACTTCATGTCCTGCTTCTTAAAGAGAGCATATTTTAAAAAAAATCTAAGTAAGTACTTACATTATAAACTGGGATACAAATTTAACTAAGCACAATTTCAGTTATCGCACTCCAGCAGCTCTTAATCAACAATACCATTTCTAGTTCCGTGGTCAGTATGAAGAAGAACCAGAATTCATCCTGAGAAATGTCCAGTTCTATTGGTTTGTTCCTCAGCCAAATCCTGGAAAGTAAAAGCTACATTTTCTTTTGGAATTCTATGCTCATTAAGACAACAAATAAATCCTGAAACAAGAAAAACTGCATTTTGTCCATCACTCCAGCCCTTTTACAGATCTGTACTCTAACCTGCCTGTGTAGCTTTCAGAATAAACATGTTGCATCAGTCAGTTGGAAGGCAAGAATATCTATTGGTTGTTCATTGTTCTTAATGTTCAAATCACTAGTTTCCAGTGCCATATAACCACTTGATTACAACTCCCCTAACTTTTAATTCCACCCTCATCAGATCATTTTACTTTATGGGCACTAATGAGGCAAGGTCGAAATACTTTTGATCTCACTAAACTGGTGTTTTGTATGCAGGGCCATCATTAATCAAACAACTCATGGAAGACTTTTTGTTCCGTGCTTCGAAAATCATCTTGACCAGCAGCAGTCCAGCTGGGAGCTGTTCAGTTAGTCAACAGGATTTTCACCCAAAGTATGTAAGCTCAGTTCTTTTTATTAATGCTTATAATAACTGTGGAGTTTGCTGTGACTGATTTGATAACTATTGTTCCATCTTCAGGCAAAACTTTGACTGGATTTCACCTGAAGTTTTTGTGTGCTAAAAGCTAACATCATCCTGCCTCTGTTTTTCCAGGTGCAGTACGGTCAATAGTCGACTTGCTGCTTATGAGGTGCTGGTTATGTTAGCAGACAGCTCTTTGAGTAACCTTCAGCTTATCTCCAATGAACTTCTATCAATGCATCACCAGTTTGACCCTGCACTCACAAAGGAGTTTGAGGTAAGTGAAGTACTGGCTCTTTTTTCTTTTTTCTTTTTTCTTCTCTACTAGTATGATATGATGAATTGAAAAATAACCTCCAAGTAACCCTGGCTGGGTAGGTAACTCTTGACTCTGTGCTGTGGTGACAGTACTTTGTTTCCATTTGTCTTGGCCCTGCCTTGCTCTGGTAATGCCAGTTTAATATGCAATTTCCGTATCATTTATCTAATGTATGTAATTATTAAAACTTTCAGTAAATAAAGATAGCACATGTTTGATTGGTCACCTCAAAGCATAATTATTTCCCTTTCTTTATTGTTGTACCTTTGTCTTTGAAGGAAACCAGAAACCAGTCAGCATATGGTTAGTATAAGGTATGGAGCAGGCAGTTTGCCAATCTGGAATACAGGAAGTTGCAGCACTGACCAAAAATGAAAGCTTCCAGACATTATTGGTGTAGTTATCATCAATGACCTGTCTTTTCTCCTTCCCAGTATGAAACCTCCATCTACTGTTCCACTAGGATTTTACAGCATGAGCCATAGATTGCAACATCTAATGTATATTTTATTCACTTGTTTCTCGTTCCTTTGCTTTCTATTAAACCTTTCTGAATCTTGGGTTTCTCGATTAAGCAATATTTTCTAAATAGAGCGGGGAACTACTTAAACAAGGAATAATCTTTATTCAAAATTTAAGATAAAGTATCACAGCAGAGAACATGAATGTATGTTTTTTTAAAAATATATATAAAATGTCAGTGCCATCGTGTTTGCTACAGAACAAATATTTGTACTGCAAGCATTGATTTTTTTTCATAAAACTAGAGAACAGAGTTGCAGTTATTTTATGTGTAATCTTTGTAGTCCCTATTTAATTGTTTCTTTTCATATTTAAAGGTTTCAGTTATTTTTTAAATTGAAGTTGTTTAGCTCTCAGCCCTCAAGTTCTGACTATAGTGCATCTTAATGGTCAAAGATTGTGTTGTATTTCTCCAGTTAATTACATTGCTGTTTTTGTTTTTCTGATTTGTTACCTTAAGACTTATCCTGAAACCCTTACTTTGCCATAAAACTGTTAATGATGTGGAGATGCCGGTATTGGACTGGGATGGACAAAGTCAGAAGTCACACAACACCAGGTTATAGTCCAACAGGTTTATTTAAAATGACAAGCTTTTGGAGCAAAGTTAACTTCATCTGATTAAGGAGCAGTGCTTTGAAAGCTTGTGATTTAAAGTAAACCTGTTGGACTATAACCTGGTGTCGTGTGACTTCTGACTTTAAAACTAGCAGTAACAGAACTTCTCTCACTTCTCAGTCAATTTTATGATGTTTTATAATTTGTGTCTAATTGAACTGTTTTATATTTATTGAATTTTTGATTTTATTATTTGTACCTGATACCTTTGTATTTAGTACTTGCCACCTGTTGATAGCCGCTCGGTGTCTGGGTTTGTGGGATTGAAGAATGGAGGAGCCACATGCTATATGAATGCAGTATTTCAACAACTTTACATGCAGCCTGGATTACCAGAGGTATGGTGTTTTAACTATCTGTTTTTGTTTTGTTTTGATCTATGGAGTCATGGCATTGTCTGTCTACATGGGCAGATATTTAATTCAGTGCTTCGCAAGGGATATCAGCTCACAGATGAAAATGGGACCCACTCCTTGACAGTGCAGAAAAGTTTGTGATTCAGAAATGGCAGATGCAAATACTGTCCTCAGTTCTTTAACAAAAATCATTTTTGAACAGTTTTGTTCCAGTTCAAATTTTAAAATGTGCTAGAATATTGATTTGGAATGTCATACCTACTGCCTAGCTGTTATGGGCCCACAGTGCATTGTTGAGTTCGTATAAGGAGTGGAAAATTTCACACTGCTCTCTCTGTTGAATTTAAAACAGCAGACTGAACTTTGCATCCAGTAATAATGTGCCTCATGTTTGGTGCTTGAGAATACTTGATTCTTGCATTTGGTACCAAATACTAGAAAGTTTACAAAATCACAGAATTGTTACAGTGCAGAAGGAGGCCCATTATGTCTGCAGTTCAGGAACTTCATGACTTACTTTCCTGTAGAAAAGAGAAGACTATCATAGACAATACAGTCTTTCCTGACCTGTCACAAATTTGAAATTTTCAATGACCTAGTCTTTGCAGGTTTTCTGAGAATTTCTAATTGTTGAAATCCATTACCTTTGCATGAAAATTCATCAGTAAAGGGTTGGTGTATCCTGCCTTTGATTGCCAACATATTGAATTTTCTAACTGGCATACTGTGAAAGGGAGATACTAAACAAAAATAATGAGTGAATGTATTTCAACAGTTATGTTCTGTTTTCAGGTAAATATTAATTTGAATTCTTTTTGGAAAACTATGCAAAAGTAATTAAAAATGGTAGTTCAGTTGTTGAAGTAGAGAACTAATGTATTTATTGAAAATGTTTGGGTTCGTAATTTTAATCTGAAACGTACACTGTTTCCTAAACATAGTTTGTACTTAAAAACAAATCCACTAAGAAAAATAAATCTGTTTGATGCGTACACCCTATTGCCAACAGCCACTAGGCGTCAAACTCCCTTTCTAATGCTATCCATTGTTTCAAACATTTGCGATTAGCCTCATAATTTATTTTGGTACAGGTTGATGTCAGACTTCAAAGTTTAATACTTGAACCAAGTTACGCCATGGTCAGTTCACAAGTTTCCAAATGGATGATATGGAGGCAGCAACTTAAGACTTATTAATCCATAACCTTTATTGCTTCACAGATGGGTTCCTTGTACAAATGATCAATACATATGCCAACTAATCAGAGGAAAGATTTGAAAACCAAATTGTTATAAATAATTTCTGCTTTTCCTCCATATCCTCCCAAACAGATGATGGCAAATAAATTCACACAGGAACCTTGTTGGTAGCAAAGAAAAAAGCACACAGACCTTGGGGCATCTAGAGATGGAAAATAAGTGTCACCCGTATCCTTAAAGTAATAATATTTTATGGATATTGTTCAGTAATAAATGGAAAAAGAATCATAGCCTTAGATTAGATTTCTCTCACCTTTGACTTTTCTCCCCTTCTTACAGGCAATGCTGTCAGTAGATGATGACGATGACGAGAATCCAGAAGAGAATGTTTTCTATCAGGTTCAGTCCCTCTTCGGGCACTTGATGGAAAGCAAATTGCAATATTATGTCCCAGAGACTTTCTGGAAGGTTAGAAACTTGGAAATAATATAGACTCTTATTTTCAGTAATTAATTAATTGGACTCTTTTCAGCTAATACACAAGCCTCTCTTTTGAAAAGTATTTAGTGTTTGAAAATAACATTCCATCCTAACGTTATTTATATGAAGATTAGTTTAAGAATCTTGCCTGACATTCTACACAGCTCTGTCACGCAGTTCTGAATCTAATGCATGGTACTGAACATGTTTGCTTAGTGCCAACTCAGGAAAAGAAAACAGAAATATTTGAAAAGACAGGGAAATTTCAAACCAAATGTAACTTGACTTATTTGTCACTTGATTGAGGAATAAGCTGTCACCAATAGAAATGAATGTGCATTAAAAGGTAAAGTCGTCATATCAAACCATAGGGTTGCTGTATCATTAGACAGACACAGATGTTGGTGGTTTAACTTGAGGCTCACCATGCCTCAGGCAAGGTGTTGGCATCACCCTGCAATGCAAAACAACCATCCAGCCAACTGAGTTAACCAACCCTAAGTAGCAAGAAGAACATTGACTTAGCACCACAGAATGAATAAAATGCACATGGTCTGAGCTCTGAGTGTGAATTTTAATTAAGGCAGACATTCGTTATACAGTCAAAAACGGAAATTGCTGGAGAAACTTAGCAGGTCTGGCAGCATCTGTGAACAGAAAGTAGCATTAATGTTTTGAATCCATTGCCCCTTCTAAGGAATTTACAACTGCCAAACCAAAAGCAGATAAGAATAATGCAGCCAAAAGTAAATGTTTTACTTATACAGTACTTTCTCTCATTCTCAGGATATGAATGTTATGCAACAAAGTAATTACTTCAAAGTGTCATCGTAATAATGTATTGATTATGAAACTGACTCAGTAGTAATGGAAGTGTTGACCAGTATTCTATAATTGAATCTTGAAGGACTGTATCTTGGGATTGAGTTTGATACTCCTCTTGTGCAGTAAATTGGGAGCTATGCTGTGATACAGTGGCATCCAGCCATCTTCCTGATTAACAAAACCCTTCAAACTAGGTCGAGTTCACTACCCTGATTCCGTAAATTGTGTTGGCACTGAGCTATACTTCAAAAGTTAAATAACTGAATGAAGAAACTATCAATTTTACCCCTTCCTTTCTACTCCAGTTTTCTAGTGATGGCATTCTGAGGTGTGTCTCAGTGCAGACAACTTTTACTATGTGGTACATTCCTATTGCTGTGCAGCTGTGCACCCCATGCAGTTTGGAGGTAGCATTGATCACAAACCCAAATCTGTTTTTACCCCTTCATGTTCATTCTCTTTCAATTTCTAATTACTTGATACATATCTGGAATTAGATCACTGGCTGAAATTTATATTTCACCTTTCTCCCCAATCAGTTTTTCCCTGGCTGAAGTCACGTAACCCAACGCATCCAAAAGATTAAACCTGAGGACTTGCACACTCTCCATGCCACTGTTTAGCAAAAAAATTATTGTGGAACTACAGCTTGATATTTGTTCTTGACTCCTCCCCTTCATTCTTGAGGAACATCTATCTGTTATAATAAAAACAAAGTTGCTGGAAAAGCTCAGCAGGTCTGGCAGCATCTGTGAAGGAGAAAACAGAGTTAACGTTTCGGGTCCAGTGACCCTTCCTCAGAACTGATGGTGGCTGGGTAAAATGTCAGTTTATATGCAGAAAATAGGGAGGTGTGTGGGGTAGGGAGTAAACGATAGGATAGAGCCCAAAGAGAGAGAGAGACAGTTGGACAGACAAAGGAGTTGCTAACGAGCAGGC